ATGCATACACCAACTCGACGGCCCAACAGAATGTCTCTTCGATTGTTTTTGCCGGCACTGTGGTGGGTATGTTGATATTTGGCTACACTAGTGATCACTGGTCACGCAAGTGGTCTTTGATGATCTCCACTGTTATCCTGTTTGTCTTTGCGGCTCTCGGTGCTGGCTCCTATGGAGCTGGCGGCAGCCTGGGTGGCATGCTTGCTGCTTTGACGGCCTACCGTTTCTTCTTGGGAATTGGCATTGGTGGAGAATACCCTGCTGGTTCAGTTGGCGCTGCGGAGAATACTGGAGAGCTCAAGAGTGGCCATCGAAATCGCTGGTTCATCATGTTCACCAACTTCCAGATTGATTTCGGTTTCGTGGTTGCTGCTTTGGTATCTATGATCCTCGTCCTGATCTTCACCGAGAACCATCTGCACGCTTGCTGGCGTGTGGCTCTAGGGCTGGGAGTAATTCCCCCTCTGAGTTTAATGTACCTCCGACTGAAGATGGATGAGCCCGAGGAGTTTAACCGGGAGCGCATGCACAAATTCCCGATCTTGCTGATTATCAAGTAAGTACGATATTTTCTAATACTTGGATTTGTTGGCTAACTAGTTTAGATTCTATTGGAAGCGCTTGGTAACAAACCCCGTCTACATGTTGCCCTTGCAGGCATGAACCGACTAACTGACTGGATGTGATGTATAGGCCGTTGTTTCCATTATCTGGTTCCTTTACGACTTCTCTGCATACAGCTTCGGTATCTATTCTTCGGCCTGGCTACAGATCATCTTGGGTAAAAAGGCTCCCTTGTGGAAGAGCTTCGGTTGGACTACTGTGGTCAATTCCTTCTACATCCCAGGTTCCGCCCTGGGAGCCTTCATGAGTGACTGGATTGGCCCTCGCTATACCCTTGCCCTTGGTGTTGGGCTCCAGGGCATCATTGGATTCATCATGGCCGGATGCTACAAGTGGCTTGCGACCCCAGAAAATGTGGCAGCCTTTGTTGTCGTATTCGGGTAAGTTTACTAACAAAGCTCTCAGACTTTAGCAATTGCCAACGCTAATGTTTTGAGAACAGAATCTTCTCCGCCCTTGGTGAAATGGGACCCGGCGACAACATCGGTCTCTGCGCCGCCAAGACCAGCGCGACTGCCATCCGTGGCCAGTACTACTCATATGCTGCTGCTATTGGGAAGGTTGGAGCTTTTGTGGGCACCTACGTGATTCCGATTATTCAAAAGAACGCACCCAACCCGACCCGCGCAGGCCAGGACCCATTCTTCGTCTCCAGCTCGCTATGTCTCTTGGCCGCATTAATGGCCATTTTTATGATGCCGCAGATTGACCAGGTATGAACTGTTGCAGATAGAGTATCTTGTTGATGTGCTCACATTTTCTCAGGACACTATTACTTTGGAGGATGCCAGGTTCCGCGACTACCTCGAGGCTAATGGATACGATACCACGGAGATGGGCACCCATAACCGCCAGACCGACACTCGCGAACAACAGTAATTTGATCACAGCCCTACTACGCCTAACACATACTTGCTCACCCTTTTGGGCCGTTGTGTTCCAATCAGCTTTACTTAATCCCACCGACTCCCTGGGGCCATCCACACGCGGCAATGCACAATCAGTAAAATAAACGAGATACCATTGATGAGACAGCGACTACCCGGCCCTTGCGACTTGAGATATCCCACCCCCTGCCCTTGCCCCTGCGACATGATCCATGAATGTATGAGAGGAACGCGGGCATATCCTATATGATCTGCTGGTGTTGCATTTCGTGGGACAGAAGCTGAACTCCTGACTTGTATGATAAACAATTTATTTCAAGTGGGACCTTCGATGTTGTCCACACATAATCAGACACATAAAACCCTTTAATATGTATTCGGTCTTCATCTTTGTGGAGGTCTAGAGACTAGCCTTGTAAAACACAACACGTTGGAGTCATCTTGAGACTACCTCCCGCTTTCTTTGGTATCTTCGTATCTTTTCAAATACGTGTAAGCATACTTGGAATATTGCGCTTCGTGTTCTGGCGTTTTACCCCGGACTTACTCCAGATTTGCTGCACGATCCACTTCTAAGTACTACGTCCAATCTTGCGTGCCCGTCGTCTCTTTGACCAGAGATGTAGCAAAGAACAACAACAAAGAACCCCTTCCACTCTCCCTTGGGTGACACAGTAATGCTGACAACACTATCGTCAAAGCTACAATGACACGGGTCGGATCAATGCTGTCTGGCCTAGGACTATCTTCACTATATCGAGGGCATGAAGGAGGTCTGCTGGGATAATTATAAAATACAGTATCCTGGAGAGCATGTGAAAAGGGATCCATCCATCTATTTACCTGGCTTGAGATAGGATGTAGTAAACTACAAGTACCGGGTCCTAAGAGTGCTTAACTCAATATTGATGCAATTGATTGTGTGTGGATAGTGTTGACGGCGTGCCCGGGCAAAATTGTGACTAGGTCAAATCCGTATATAAGGTCTGAAGAAATAATCTTAAACAATGCCGAGCATAAAAAAGGGCATAAAACGAGATTCTATCATAGAAGATGCAATGTCGGAGAATGGGATGGTGCAGGCTCACGTGAAAAAGAGGACAAAGTCACAAGCCGAGTGGATAAAACAATCGAGGCGGATATGGAAATCAAGCATTTCAAGGGATTTCATAGAATTTCACCAGAATAAGGGTTCAAATGCCATGAATGCTGTAATAATAGTAAATACAATACACATTGTTCCTCCGGATTTCTCCCCACACGCACGAGATCAGCCGAGGTCGGTCTTCCGGCTCCATACGCCGGTCAATTACCGACTGACTGACTCCCTTTTTCTTATGAACTATCGCATTTGATTCTTGACACCCTCCAACCTTTGGTGTTCGAAGTTCCATTTTATTCATTTCCATTACAGAAAAAATGGTCGCTAACACTCTCATCTACCACCCTGCGCTGGCGCACTGGCTGCGCTTCGTCGCGACAACCGGTACGTGACAAATCCCCAGAGTCCAAAAAGCAACATCCCAGTCCAGTACCTATCTGTACACGAAGCAAAAACAAACTCCCATTTTCCATTGCGAATGCAGCAAAACCCCCCTTGTGGCGAGAACTCGGCCGAGAAGCGCAGCTTATCGAGCTCTCCCCGCCCTTACCCGAACACTCAAGCTAACGATACACGCAATCTATAGTCGGCCGCGACAAGCTCCTCCGCACAATCCAATACTTCTCCCGCTTTTACGCGTGGTACCTATACCGGACGAACAAGCCGCAGTCCGCGATCGACCCCTACAATGCCGTGAAGAAGCAGTTCGGCACGACCCGCAAGATTATGCGTATCGGCAAATTCCTCGAGCATCTCAAGGCCGCCGCCATCGCCTTCGATAACAAGAGCCCCGTTGACCCGGTCCTGCGTTACCTGGCCATCGGTCGCCAGCTCGGTTATGCCGGCTACCTGACTCTCGACGCCATCACAATCATCGATGTGATTGGCATTCGGAAACTGTCTTCCGCAAAGCGGCTGCAGGATTCCGCCTACCGCTCCTGGGGCGCTGGTCTGATTTTCAGCGCTGTCGCTGGTGTCTACACTCTTGTCCGTCTTCAGGAGAAGGAGAAGACTATTGACCGCAAGGAGGGTGAGGGTGTTGTTGAGGCTAAGAAGATTGAGAAGTATGGGTTCCTTGGTATTATCAGAATGAGAAATGGATGGCATGCTGACACTTTTATTAGGGAGCGCTCTGCTGCTCGCATACAGCTCATCTCCGATGTTTGCGATCTGGCCGCGCCCTTGTCTGCCGTTGGTATCGTTAACCTCGACGATGGTCTCGTCGGTATCGCAGGTACCGTCAGCAGTTTGATCGGTGTTTGGTCCCAGTGGCGCAAGACCGCCGGACCCGTCTAAGCGGTGTATAGTTGGTCCGTGATGAGGTGGGAGGTTGGTGGCTCGCTACTTGGGTGATTTTGGGGTCTCGGGCCTAGCTGCTGGCTTGGGAAAGGGGAGAACGAGACGAGGAGGTATTTTTATTGCGCATTCTATATCCTGATGGTTGTTTCTCGCCTGTGAACAGTCTTATATCTTTTTTTCTCCAGAGAAATGTCTTCACGTCGTTTCTTTTGTTTTCGTACATAACAATCGCACTTGGTTTCGGATAGATTCGTGTTCATTCTCGTCGTTGTCATCATATCATTGCTATGAACATATTGATATCCCAGTCCTCTCCTGGCTCATCCTCATGCCATCGCTACACCGCAAACAGTCCCAACTCCGATACCCTTCAACCCAAACTCTCGAGGCATGCTTTAAACAGGGCAGGTCTAGTATGGTTAGTATAAGCTCACACAGAAGTACTGCAGAATCAACATACAGCACCGCAGGCACCACAGCTCTTGCCAGCGCCGTCAGCGGCGGCACCACACTTGGGGCAGGCAGCGTGTCCGTTCATTGTTGATGATAGATGAAGTAGATCTGGCAGAGCGTTAGTAACCACCAAGGTCCTCACGAGAGATATAAAGAAGACACAGCCCTTGCATACCTTGATCTAGGTAATTTATTGTTTACAAAATAATGTTCGCAAGTGTGGGAGAAGCGAAGTAAAGAGAAAATTGCTGACTTTTCTACCCCGCCTGACTGGTGCCCCGCTCAGAGTCATTTGTTCTACTCGCACATGATTTGATAGCCCTGAAGCTTTACACACATAGCTAAACGCGGCAAAAGGAAATCATTAATAGAGATCTTGAAGAATGACGCACCTTCGCATGGGCGCGTTTTGTTCCATAGCTCGAAGAATCTACGCGAGGACTAACAAAACCATACAGCAATAGAGTGTTTGTGTATAGCGCGCATATCAAAACGTGAGACCATGCGCCCTTGACAAAAGAAATGAAATCAGGAAGCAAATAAAACATAGAAACAAATGTAGGGAAACACTTGAAAAACAATCTCATAGCAGAGATATCGGCCTCGAACCCCATAATGGCCCTCTTGTTGGCCCTCTACGGGCTCGTCCTGATATTCATTGGGGCCCTCGAGTTCACGGAGGAGGCCGTGGTGGATGGGGTTTGGGGCCCCGTGGAAAGGACCACGTCCTCGCCCTCTATATGTTTGGCCCCCATAGAAAGGATCTCTCTGGGCCTTTGAAGCCGGGCATCCCATAGGCGGTACTTTTCCCAGGTAGTGTAATTGACGTCTGACAAGTTAAGCCTGACCGATGAGGCCACATCCAGGTTTGCGAATACCAATCTGTAATAGAGCAGGGCTCCGTCCACGGTAGCAGGATGAGCACCAATATCCCGATTAGGCGTAAGGACTCCCACGGGAATTCCCCAGTGGCCAGGTCCTAGGTCCGTTTTGGTCAGCGTACAGACCTGCTGTTCAACAACCTGCACATTTGAGTAATTAGCAGATATCCTAACACATGTGTTAATGGAAATAGGCAAACATACTTTGCCTTGATTGCAATGAATCAGCACATCAAGGAGCTTTGCCATGATGAAATTGATACCCTCGCTTGGTGCCTTCTCTTGGTTCTGGCCCTTGCAACTGAGGGCATTATTTCTTGACCTTAGGTCTCTTACGTTTCCCTGGTCATTTCACTGCATGCGCGTCCTTCGAAGCCTGGACCAAGGTCGGAGCTTCGGTTTCCTGAGTATCTTCAGAATTATGAGACCAAGATGAAGGCTCCATGTTTGATTGACGACCGTGTAATGGACCTCAGTGGAACCTTTAGGGGTCAAGGGGTCCACCTCAATATATCTAAAAAGCCATCAATATGCGTCTACATGAGGAAAGCAATGGTGATCATACTTATGGGCTAATAACATAATCACAAAGAGTAAGCTGATTGCAATCCCGGTGATATGTTTTGGACGGGTGCCGGCGTCAAAAAGGGCTCGAAGGTGTGCAGGGGAAGACATTTCTTTTTTTTTAATAACCGAAACTCCAGTGCGCACGGGTAGTATGCTAATTCATCAATATCAGGTGCCTTCAGGGCTCCGAAGTTGCCTCATTCCATCTTCTACATCACCTTCAACTGGCCAATAGCATCACCGTACATATTTTCACGCACCTGATTCCCCCTAAAAAAGGAGGGCTTCTTATCAAATCCATGAACAACACCCTCGACTACAAATCCACCTACACTCTCCATCTTCCCTTCTTCAACGAACCCACCAAGCCTTTCCCGGAACGTATTCCCCTCAACAAGCAATTGATCCCACCCACAAGTATAAATTGCCACAGCAGGCGGATATGCCGCATGCAACATAGATGCAGGCGCCAGACCAGGCGAAAGATAAGGATGCGACATATCCACGCGACCTGTACTCAGCTGTTTCGGCAGGCCCGCAAAGAGAAGGTAGGAAGCGTCGAAGAACCTGAATACAGAAGGGGAGACCATTGATTTTGTTGGGGAGATAGGATTTGTAGCGTCACGCTCTTTCCGCGTTCGCGTCCAGTCTGTGCTGGGGTAGAATACTACTAAGCCAACCAATGCTACCTCCCGGCGTAGCGACGCCCAGCGCGTTTTCTGTAGTTCCTCCTGCAGCCGTAATGGCAGTCCTAGAACGAGGTTCCCGCCTGCACTGAATCCGCTGAGCGCGAAGCGCGTTTTATCAAGATTGTACTTATCCGCTTCTTTCCATAGCCATAGTATAGCATCGACGCCGTCTTCTAGTGCGACGGGGAAGGGTTCCTCCGGGGCTAAGCGGTAATTGACGCTTACTACCACCACGTCTGGACAGGCTTTCAGCACGGCACCCGCCCAGCGGGCATCATCGAGAGCGTGGCCGATTGTGAAGCCCCCGCCGTGGAAGTTGATGAGGACAGGGCGGGGCGGGCATATTTTGGTTTGTTTGCGAGGACAAAGGGGTTTTGATGGTGCCGTGAAGAAGTAGAGTTGGATTGGACCCGGAGACTTGCTGACTTTCGCGGGGATGGCGATTTCGACGCTTAGTCTGGGGGGTAGTGGCCGGGAGAAATATCGGTCTAGTAGGGAGAGTAGGCTTGTGAGCATGCGATATCGGTACGCCTTGTTGCCAAGGGAAGAGCGGGATGGAGGGGATGAAGTGGATGCCATATTTTATTGTGATGAATGCTTTTTTGTAAAAATGGCCGACAAAATGATGATATGTGATGTTTATATGGACGGATGATGTAACTTGTTAGTCACTCCAGGGCTGGACCTGAATGATCCCAGTCAAATGTTACTTACTCAAACGGAAAAAGGGGGCTTTTGTGTAACGCATAATTTGAGTGTCGATTTTAAAAGCGAACTGTTGCAGTAAAGTGCTAATATTCCCAATGGTGATGTACGACGTTTAGACAGATTGCCGCCATCTGGCCCATTTGGGCAGGTGGAGCGTGCGTAGCATAAAAGCATATAAAATCCAGAATGGGAATGGGTAGTAACCTTGAATTTTATGCATATACACCGGATTTTAGGCCGCACGACATGGCTTTCCCTTTCCGTTTTATTGCTCTCCCCTTGTCGCGTTTTGCTCACTAAAACCGAGCACACGGCTGGCCACCTCATTCGTATGTCCACTGGTTTTAAGTCACTAATCCCATGTTTAATCTGGTTGACCTACGGTCTCCAGAATATAGATCTGACCATCGAAAACCCCCTATAAATAAAATTTAGTCTGGGAAGACCGCTACGGTGCGTCTCTTATATGCAACAGTATTACTTCATTTACTTCCCTATTTCTCTAAATTATTGCAAGAATTTATTAGAATCTCTGGCCCTTGAGTTAGCTTTATAACGATGTAGTGGCTGGAGAGCGTACCGTGAGGAGTAAGGTCCATCTTTGTTGGTCGCGGGCTTGCCTTTCTCTGGGACATTGCTGGGCGGGGTCTTTCTTTTTATATCCTTAAATGACACTTGGCCTATTAACATGCTAGAACCGTTTCACATCCTTGAATGGCCTAGACGAGGTGCCTGGAGTTATGGCTGAAGTTGACATGCGAGGTCCCAAATAGCTTGAAAGTGAAGATATCATCCCACCAGCCCGAAAGATTACCGATTGGAGGTCATGAGAAGTTCGTGCAACTTCGGAGCTATAGGGATACTCCATAGTTATGGATAACAATATCTAAGGGGCTTAATTTTCAGGAACGCTCGTTGTTTTGGTTCTCAAAAGTACTATAACGACTCTACAAAAGGTAATCTAACTTCTTCGAGGATTACTAACAGAGACTTAGAACACATCGATTCATAAATCCCAAAATACCCATATAGAAATCAATGTTTCTTAAGTCTAGTATCAGGTTCTGTTCCCATGTTCATTTTGCTCCACTCATATTCTGTTTTCCTGTGCCATTTTTCTCATTGCTGTGATGGTCCCCTGAACTGAAGATACTGCAATTTTCATGTGATCATCCTCTGCTTTTTTGGCCTCATTTGTTCCAGGTTCAATACCAGGCAGGTGCCATTCGTATGTGAAGGTGAGATGTAAAGTCTGATCCGGCCCTTTGGCGATAATATTCTCGACTATAGATCCACCTGGAAGGGTGAAGCAGGTCTGTCCTCTGATTAGACAATAATAACAAATTGTGATTTTAAAAAGCTCAAGTAGCTCAAGTGATTGATAAAGCTTCTTGGGGTGGGGCACTTACCTTTACCGGTGCATGTAATCTGCATTCCTCGCGGGTCCATTTCCCTGCCATTGGAGACTCGTGAAGATCCGCTGAAACATGAGCCTCTCTCACAATGACGCAGCCATTTTCGCGCTCTTCAACGACACGAGAGTCGTCGAAAGATGGGATAAATGCTTCAGGGCATCTAGCCTTCAATTTGATGCCGTTCCAGACCTGCTCTTGTGTCAGAGTTGGAGTGGCTGGATCGGCACCATTTACTGGTTCGGTATAGGCGATATAAAGAGTAAGCATTGTTGACGTGATTGAAAGTGAACGGCGGTTTAACAGAATATCCTTATTCAAGTTCTTTTTTAAGATAAAACAGGATTCAAATATTGAGGTTGGAGCTGGGTTAAAAAGGTGGACAGAAGCTCTCGGGCTCGGAGGCAGTCTCGGAGGCCGACGCTCACTTGTCCGAGTTCCCCCAAGCCGTTGCCACCTCGAGTTATTCATCCAGAGCTGTCTCAAAAGAGGCTTTAGCCATGCAAAGATTCCATTCTGATAGCAATTTTCAAAGTCATTATGAAAGGCAGGGCAATTATCTTTTGGCTGAGCCTAGGGGGAAGCCTTTTTTTTTTTGCAAAGGAGCTCGCATGTAGACGTATTAGGGTGGTGGGGGTGAAGGTATATCCCTGAAATTGAGTCTAGCCAATGATGGCTTTAGAAGCCCGTCTTTCCCGTGTAAACCTCGTAGCTGTATCTATCCATTCATAGCTATCCAGCTCGCTCGTTCTGTACTGTTGTAGTCGTGCAGCCATGCTAACCATGAATTCTAATAATAGATGAGGTAGACAACAATGATTCATTTCAACTACTCAGCAGCGCCCCCCCACCAACCCCCCTCCTCCTTCCTCCATTTTCTAGGCTAGTTCAAACCCCTTATCTTGAGCGACTTGAACACATCGATAGACATAGTATAGTGACCCTTGTTTTCAAAAAAAAAAAAAAAAAAAAAAAAAACAAGTGTTTATAGCAAAAAGATGGATGAGGATGTTAACCTAGTCCATCACATACATTTTGGCTGTTTCGACTAATAAATCCTTCGTTTCTTCGTTGTTTCTCATATTCAAAAGATCCGGCCGAATCTTATAGATTTCGGCTTTCAACAACATCCAAAGGTTCTCAATTGGATTAACACCAGGGGAATATGGTGGTCATTCTATAACTTCAACATTCATATCGCGTAACGCATCTCGGACAATGCACGCTTTGTGGGTTGGGGTATTATGATGTTGAAAAATGCTACCCTCATTCGCAAGAAGGATTGGGAGAATTCGAATATAAAAATCCCGAATAATACAGCGATTTACGCCTCCCCGTTGAGATCCCGGAGCTCTAAATAGTGGAATTAATCCAGATCGTCGCTCAGCACCCGAAAAAGCACCCCAAAACATTCGTTTAACTTGTCTTCCTTTGTACGGGAGACCTTGGACTTGATTTAGTCGACATTGGTCTCTTAATCAAACAAAAGTCCACACATTTCGGATTTATTTTTCTGAAATTAAGTCGTAAGAGTGTGGGGGTAAAACCGAATTCGAAAACTACATATGTACTTTAGCCACCATTCTCTCCAAATGGTTGACATCGAAACTTCTCATAAAACAAGCCATTGGCTCCTAAGGGTTTTTTTCCCAATCCCGCATACTAACTAGACGCATAAAGCTTATTAGTTAGTTAGCGCTTGGTTGTTCTGTAATCGAGGTGCGGCTGAACGTTCGCCCCACCTTAACACGAATATTCCCTGTGCACGAAGGTAAGCCTCTTCCTCTCGCATCTCGCGCCAGACACATAGGTGGTTCCCGATCTCCAAGCTTTACTAAAGTCCTAGGCATTCCCCGCTAATCTATGGGATGACCCTGTATTGAAACAGTTATTGGTTCCATGGTCCCCGGAGGAGTCATTATTTGAGGGACTGTAATAAAAGATAGTTCATGAAAAGGGGAATCATGCTCGTGCAAAGCCACCCCGACCAGCTAGGTTATTTTGGAGAACTAGTGTCTCGAGAAAGTTGAAGACCCTCGGCTCAGCTATTATCGTTCAAACGGGACACGATCTATTTAGGTGCAGCATCAATCATGCGGCTAATTATGGCTAGGGCCTCGTTCATCCCGTGTCGTCTCCAAATTGGAGATTCAGCCCGCTGATCCCACACTGCCCTGTTCCGCCCCTATTTGTAGGCTGGCGCTGCTGTCTCCGGGCCCATAATCTTTGCTTCTCGCACTTTCTTTCAGCATGCGTTATAGCTCGAAAAAATGACGACAACACCTGCTTCGGATCTTACTATTGCCCATTTTGGTCCACTTACGACCACGTTCTCTCCACCCACGGGGTGTGCCACCGCGAACTGGGTCAGTTACAACACAGACAACGCCCTTCTGGCATGGGGGGCTGTCTGTGTCACCCAGGGCGTTCCAACTGGCTCAACCCCCGCGAAGGTATGGAACTGGGCCTCGTCTTGCTACCCCGAGGGTATCAAAGGTGTGTTTACTGGAGAGGGAGTAAATAATGTCTTCACTCCCGGTAATGTCTGTCCATCTGGATGGACCGCAGATTATACCACCAGCGCTGGCCAGAGGGGCCTATCACCATCATACAATATTGGTCTAATGGGAGCGACCGTGGCCGATAGCCAAGTTGCCACCGTATGCTGTCCATCGTAAGTGCTTTAATTCATAAGCCTCAGTCAAAGCAGGAAAGCCGTGGTGTCAAACTTTTCAAATGTCCATTTGAAGACCCACAAGCAAAGGTTGATTGAAATGACAACAGTTTGGCTAATATTTGGTCTAGTGGGTATCGGTATGGAGGCAAAGGATGTGCTAGCACTGCGACATCTGTCAGCGCACGACGGCTGCTCACGACTTCAGATGGAACATGCTCAAGGACTACCGTGTCTGACTTCACTGGCTATATCGAGCGCTCGCAGAAAACGGCGACTTTTACGGCATATCCCATTTGCTTGGTTAATGGCGGTGAAAGCACAGGATTATCAACTGGGGCCAAGATTGGGATCGGAGTAGGTGTCCCCCTTGGCGTCCTCCTTATTGCCGGGGTGACGTTTATTTGGTGGTACCGACGCAACAAGTCAAGGAAAATTGCAACTGAAGCTGCACCTGAAGCATCCAGTTTGTCCGAAGGCGTGTCTAAGAGGAGCCCCAGATTTCCAGTTGGCGTCGTGAAACCCGAACTTGATAATGGCGACCCCATGTATCAGAAAGCGGAGCTTGATACTGGCGCAGTGATTGCGTCCGGCTCATCTCAGGCGCCAGTCGAAATGCCCAATGAACAGATTCCATCTGCACCGGCTGAACTCCCTGCTGCGCGAAGCCCGGATACACCTCAAGCTGAGTTGCCTGGAGATTTTGGATACACCGCTGCTAGGAACGATGGGGGCAAAGACGCAAATGTGGCCAATGTGTCCACTTCTATCCCAACCATTGTCGTAGATCCGTCTTCGCCTCTTTCAGGTGAAAGAGGAACCAAATAATCGCGCTATGGAACGGGATTGAGAAGATTGTGGGTAAGAAAATTCGTCCAAATTTTTCAATTTCTGGAAAACTTGACGCACCAAGTTGAAAGAAGGCATGTAGATCGGAGTTTTGAGCCAGGGGCTACTGTTTATGCTCTCATGAGTCCATGAATCATATTTAAACAAGCTATATACCCAAATTTGAACCTACCCCGCGTCCCCGTTCGGGTTTAGTGCCGCTGTGGCCGCTTTGACTGTCCCCGTCATCTGCCCTCTACCCGGGTATCTAAGAACGCCGACAACGGGGCAATGATAGAAATGACGGCAAGTAATACGGACAATGCTGTAAATAATCAGCTCCTTCCAGAATACATCAAGGTATTCATGCCCGAAAAGAAGCCCGACAAGTCCCAACATGTCATCCCCTCAACAGGAGGAGCTGGGTAGTTTCTCCAGCCTATGAAATTGATTTTAATGGTAGCAAGGATCAGAGCAATTAGTTGATAAGGGCATCCATATACCGGGGTGCTCTCCGACAGAAACTGAGAACAAGCTTTCCCAGTGCCATCGGTACAACGGTCAAATTTTACGAGCGCACAGCAGACCTTAGAACGGGTCGAGACTGCTAGGCCCCTTGGCTAAAACTGCAGTTTACATATCATTCCACTCTAACCGTTTTAAACTACCCATATCTCTACGGAGTAAATCCTCACTGATTCCAACAGTCAAGTTACCAAGATCCTGCACGCCGCTAGGCCCAAAACTAACATTGTGGGGGCGGTTTTGTCTCCATTACCGAGCCGCATCTAGTAGGTCGGACTCCGAGCTTCAAAATAAAGAGAGGGGATGTCTGCTCGTTATATGTTTCCCAATTCAAATTTCCATCGTCTCAAAAAAGGAATACAGATCACTTCATCTATCATTCACATCTCCAAAATGTCGTCTCCTCTCCCAATCGTGATCTGTGCCCTAGACTCCGGGATCGGCAAGCCGGTCTCCGAACTCCTCCTCCCCGAATTCGAAGGTTAGTAGAGCATTATTCCTTATTGCGATATGATCCGAGTTATCTCAGAGCAAGCTAGTTAACACCCACCAGTAACCCATTTCATGCAAAGCCTCTCAGCAGCACAATCCGAAATTCCCCACCTCCTCGCAGGCCGGGATCCTCAATCACCCCACATCAACGACGTCGGCACGAAAGATTACAGCCGGCCTGTGCGTGCAATTATCTTTGGTCGTGGGTTTGACTTGGAGGATATCGAGGCATTGCGCAAGAATGTCGCTAGCATCTCGCAAGACCCGGTTCTGTGGATCGCTGGTGACCCAAGTCGCAAGCCTCCTCCTGGTGCTGTTCCACCACCTAACTACCACCAGCTTGTTGCGGGAGTTGCGCGGAAATTGCTCGGTGGGTGGATCGAGGCTGGAGCTGCTAGTAATGAGGTTGTTTTGTACTAAAGTGTTTTGACTATTTCTGTTTCAAGGTTGATGTTTGGGGTTTCAAAATTTAATTACAAGAATACTACTAGAACTTGTCCATCTCAAACGGCAGCATACTGTCTGGTCCGAGTTCTCCGCGAATTAAATATATCTCAACGGTTATCTGAATTAAATGGGATATCACCATACTCCAGTTTGGCATCGGCAAGTTCACGGACAAGGGTAACAAATCTTGAACTGCTGGTATCTGTAGAGTGTGTGTTGAGTGGAAACTGCATTTAAGCCAACTCTTGCATTGTAAACTCGATATATACAACATTTGAGCGCATTTCCTGGTACTTAGGATTCACGAGGGCTAACACCGGGGGGGGGGCAGGGGGACTCCGCAGCTGGACCGCCTACAACGCCAACTGAGAATTCCCACGTTATTGCCATTCCCATTGCCCTTTCTCCAAATGCGCTTCTATGTACATACCGTGTTAAACCATGGATAGCCATATGCATTTGATTTGAGTCAAAATTTAGTTGAGATGGGACAACAACAGCAAATATATATTTCACCTAAGTTGATGTCCAAACCCGGGCATCCTCCTTAGCAACTGACCATGCAAACGTTGCTTACCGTGGGAATGGATATATAGCGATGAACGATAGCGGCTTTCTCGCGACATCATCCAGGCCCAGTGATTGGAGAATCTTCATGAACCCATGGGATCTACCTAGCTACACATTTCATTTTTCAAGGTGATGCGACCAGGAGCAAAAGGCTCGGGCCATGGTGGATGAGAAACGACTCAACGTTCATGGGAATATCAATTCCAAAAAATGAAGTAATGTACAATGGACCACGCTTTTGGATTAAGGTATTAGCGGCACCAACATGTTCATTTTCATCAAAACTCAACCTGTTCTTTCACTTCACGTCTTGGCAGATCCTGCCCCGATGTAGATAATCGGTCCGAGTGGTCTATCCGACAACTTGGTCGACAGCCTTCGTGGTCTAGTTTGGTCATGACGTCGGTCTCATATCCTTTCATATGACATTCTTGGTAACAAGATTGACATCCGAAGGTCTCCAGTTCGATCCTGGACGAGGGCATCTATTTTTGTCCCCATGCCCCGTGGGAACAGACATAGCACACTGTCAACCCCGATGACACATGCAGTGGTCTTTAAATTCCTAATTCACCATCGCCGACATATTCGATTGCCAATGCTAGTGGTAGCCTCGGAAAAACGCACTAGGACGTGGCATCTGTTAATCCACAATCAAGGCAGACCAAATTGCAATTCAAAACGTCAAAATACATCATTTGATGAAAATTGCCGAGTGAGGTCAGCGTTCATCTGTGCCTTTTTACTGGTAGCTGAGGTCATTAAACTATACCCCGCATCCGCAGTTCGGGCTTGAGACCACGCGACAATTTCCCCAGATAAAAGCCAAGACGCCAAGAAGTGCATGTCCCGTAATGTAGAAAAGGTTGGAGCGATATGCCCAATGCCACAAGTCATGGGATCAGAAATGACACTAGGTAGTGAAATTTCGTGGGCTCGTCTGATATTGTAGTCGAACCTATTTTTTATATTCCCTAAAATGAAGTAATAATATTAACAATGACGTGCAGCCCCTATAGTCAGTCTCGGGGAAAATAGGAGATAAATCGATCTTTGTCCCCCTTCAAATCGGCCCAGGCCATTTTCAAACCGCTGGCGCTGGTTGGGCAGATATTTTAGATAGGTAGACTCGAATGAAAGACAAGAATCATATCACAACGGGTAAATTAGGAAGCTAAGTTTCAGAAATGATTGGCTGTGGTTAATATCAAGGACCGAGAGCCTACTAGTTGCGTTGGTGAATGTTGATCCGGATAACGGACATAAAGAAGAAAATGCGACGGGTGTGGACGAAAAGGGGCAAAGCGCAGTTCCCGGAATGTGCGAATAGATTCAATAATTGAAGATCACGAGTCATGTTTAGCTTCTACAATGTCTATACATATTCCGTTTTGCGGAGGAGACAAGGGGAAACCCCTTTCTCCACCAGCCCTTACTCCTTGAGGGTGAAGAAAAAAGCCTCAATTTTGTTACGTTCCAGCCCGCTGGTATTCGTGTCACACGCAAGGCAGGAAAAATAAAAATGATCAGCAGGGTTAAAAAAGTAGAAGTCACTACGTACGTAAGATGAAACAAATCGCGCAAAAATAACTAATTGTTTCACGAAGAATGGCTCCGGTGGAATTTGACAAAAAAAAGAAAAAAAAAAAAAAAAAAGAAAAAGCTCAGCGTCCCGAGGCCGTGGCCGGTTCGGGATCCGCCGCTAACCACGGCGAGAAGGATCTGGGGTTGGCTGTATCGCACAAGCCACACCTGTAGAACTGGACATCCCGAGAGGCGACGGCGACGGCGGCCGATAATAACCTATACAATCATGGCAGACCGCTCATGTGCGATATTATTTAGGAGTTATTCTTCAAAGTCCGTGGTCCAGGCCATGGCCTTCGGCGTTGGGACGTAATATGCATGGGTTCTTCCTTGGGGCTTAGATTTCGAGTATGGAGACACAGGTACCGCTCGGAGCCTGGCGTTGATCTTATTGCACAACCATAACGAGCAATTATCGTCGCCCAGGGAAAACCAGTAAAAACAGGGCCTAGGACCCAGCGGCAATATCTTCTGCCCACCCGACCATCCTAGGAGGTAGAAATGTATGCATTCTGATTGGTCCCCACCGCCGCGATCAATGGGTGCATGTGCATCATCCTCGGCTGGTTAACCGCCGTTATTTGCTGCTGAATCTTGCTCCCAGACAATCGTTCCGAGCTTTGCAGCCGAACCTGTCGTCATCCGGGAGTTCAAAGGGATATTTTCATTTTGTCATTTTCCCACGGGCAACACACATTCCGATATCAGTTCGGGTTGATGCAAGCCGAAAACAGAAGAGATGAGGAATATTGAAGGGTAAGGGTGATCGACGAGATTATGTCAGCTCCCCGCGATTCCAAGGTTCTGGCTACACTATGAAATTTTGAAAACTATATCGATTTAGTGAAGTCATTGTGCGTCATTCCTGTCGTCCGGGGCTGAAGGAATTCTAGATTTTGAGAGAAATAAATCTTATTGTTACAAGATTTAAAACTAATTTTCAAATGATTGACGAAAGTGTAAGGTTAAACCTAGGTAGACTGGGTGTTTGCCGCAACCGTCAAAGCAGCATAAAAGAACCCATGAACTGGACTCATCAACTTCTCCCTGTAAACTACTCATAAAAAATCAATGAGTTATTTTTGATTCTAGAACTCTTATTTGATCCCGCGATTCGCCTTGCCGGTCATAGAGCCCCCGTTCCGAATCAAGTTCGTGTCTATTTGAACCATTCGGGTTAAGTCGGACTGCGCCTCAAGGCATTTGCAACCCACAGCAGCGCTTTATCCCATCACCAACCGCGTGTTCGCTTCAGCTCGGCGTTCAGCCCCGACATCACCCGTGGAACTGTGGAGAAACACTACCGAAAGTGCACGAGAACCTCCTTCATACCAAGACCGATCGTAACCATGGCCTCTGCCGGAAAGGATTATATACCCCTCGGCCGCTCCGATTCTCCTGGTCCTCTGGCATCAGATTTCTCTAAACAACAAGTCGCAAAACAACGCAACAATAACTATCACTCTACTTCACTCAGAACAATGGTTGCCACATCTGTAAATCGCACTGCGCTGCACCCTGGCGGTGTTCAGTATGTTGCCTTCCTGCCTCACTGTCTTTACCTCCTCGTCGCTAACTGTCCTTACTTAGGCCTAGCAAGGGTCACACCGAGCTTGAGGAGGAGCTTCACGAGACTGCTCACATTGACTACGACCGAGTCTCCATTGTAAGATCCTCGCCACTCTTGCGCTTGACATTTGATTACAATGTCTATGCCGTTGTCTATCTTGCTCCGTCGACTAATATGATTTAGATTGCCAACCCCTCTGTTCCTGCCCTTTACGAAGATGCTCTTGTCTACGAGACCGGTACTGCTGTCACATCCAGCGGTGCTTTGAGCGCATACTCCGGTGCTAAGACTGGTCGTTCCCCCTCCGACAAGCGTATTGTCCAAGAAGCTTCCTCAGAAGGTGATATCTGGTGGGGACCCGTAAATAAGCCCATGACACTTGATGTGAGTTACCTTTTTTGATTCTTTATGCGCGATTTACTGGATATTTCATTGTCGATGTTGGAGCACACCCTTGCAGATGGGCCCGAGGAGATCCACTTGGATCCCTTGCATATGCATCGGGAGGTCAAGCTTTTTGGCAGAACTTCGTGCAACCTTTTGGAATGCCGTCTCTGCCGAAGTAATACCTCATTGCCTTCCATCTTGGGAATATTTCCTTTTGCCCGTCTTTTGCCCTTTTTTTGCCCCCCCATTTTGCCCCTCGGCTTTCAGTTGCGGCTCCACGATCCCCGCCCTTGGTCCGAGGCTATCACGTGCATGACGTCAATCATAAGGCTGGTGACTAACATATTCCCCACAGGTCTGGCGCATCAACCGTGAGCGTGCTGTCGACTACCTGAACACCCGTAACCGCATCTATGTCGTCGATGGTTACGCCGGCTGGGATGAGCGCTACCGCATCAGCGTTCGCGTTGTCTGCGCTCGCGCCTACCACGCTCTCTTCATGCGCAACATGCTGATCCGCCCCAAGCGTGAGGAGCTCGACCACTTCCACCCCGACTATGTCATCTACAACGCTGGCTCTTTCCCCGCCAACCGCTTCACTGAGGGTATGACCTCCGCCACCTCCGTGGCCATCAACTTCGCCGACAAGGAGATGGTTATCCTTGGTACCGAGTACGCTGGTGAGATGAAGAAGGGTGTCTTCACCGTTCTCTACTACGAGATGCCTGTCAAGCACAACGTCCTGACTCTTCACTCCTCTGCCAATGAGGGTGAGAACGGTGATGTCACCGTCTTCTTCGGTCTGTCCGGTACTGGCAAGACCACCTTGTCCGCTGACCCCAAGCGCAAGCTGATTGGTGACGACGAGCACTGCTGGACTGATACCGGTGTCTTCAACATTGAGGGTGGCTGCTACGCCAAGTGCATTGGTCTCTCCGCCGAGAAGGAACCCGATATTTTCAACGCCATTCGCTTCGGCTCCGTCCTCGAGAACACCGTCTTCGACCCCGTCTCCCGTATTGTTGACTACGACGATGCCACCCTTACCGAGAACACCCGTTGCGCCTACCCCATTGAGTACATCGAGAACGCCAAGATTCCCTGCGTCAGCGACAACCACCCCACCAACATCATTCTGCTCACCTGTGATGCCCGCGGTGTCCTGCCCCCTATCTCCAAGCTCACCCCGGAGCAGACCATGTTCCACTTCATCTCCGGTTACACCTCCAAGATGGCTGGTACCGAAGACGGTGTCACCGAGCCCCAGGCTACTTTCTCTTCTTGCTTCGCTCAGCCCTTCCTGGCTCTTCACCCCATGCGCTACGCCCACATGCTGGCCGAGAAGATCAAGGAGCACAAGGTCAACGCCTGGCTCCTGAACACCGGCTGGGTTGGCGCTGGCGCTACCACTGGCGGCAAGCGTTGCCCTCTCAAGTACACCCGTGCCATCCTGGACTCCATCCACAACGGCGAGCTCGCCAAGGCCGAGTACGAGACCTACGCTACCTTCAACCTGCCCGTCCCCACCTCCTGCGCCGGTGTCCCCAGCGAGCTCCTCAACCCCGAGAAGAGCTGGACCGCCTCTACTTCCTTCAAGGATGAGGTCACCAAGCTTGCTGTCCTCTTCAACGAGAACTTCAAGAAGTACTCCGACGAGGCTACTCCCGATGTCCTCGCCGCTGCTCCCCAGGTTTAGAGGGTTCGAGCGATTAACAAAAATTTCTTTTTCTCCTTGTTTCTTGTTCTCCCAAACAGGATGAATAAGTCATTTGCATGGCGTGCTGCTTTTTTTTGGTGACGATCTTTGGATCCTCTCGCCGACGTCTGCCGCTTGTATCGGGACAAGCGATGGATATCTATTGATTTCCCCCCGATTTGGGTTGTGCTTTTTTTTTTAATCTTTCGCCATCTAATCTGACTGGCTGAGTGGAGTTATGTAGTGATATTAACGAAGCAATTTCTTACATGATAGTCAATGCAATCATATCTCATTTCAAAATTTACTTAAATCTTCTTTTGTAATCTAATAGCTGCTTCTTGTAGAACGCGTGGTTGGATTGGTTTATAATCCCTTGTTGAAAGTTCACTGTTGTCAAACCCTTGTCAACGACTTGCACATTATCTATACAAGGTAACGTTTATTCCGAATCGCTTCATCGCTACGAAAAGGGCGTTTAACAGCCTCATGAGCAAGCCCCAAATTATCCCTGCCAAATTGCAAGAGATGACGAACGGTTCGTTGTCGATTCGTTACCTGTGAGATAGCAGCATTCCTGGTCCGCAACGAGGAAGGAAATTACTCCATCATGAGATCCAGAATTCACATTGCAACGGTTCGAGAGTTATACCTCAGAAGCGATCGCAAGGCAGTATTAAGAAAATATGATATTGTTCAGCTCTGGGGTCTCATCGGAAAAGTACTGCGGTTTGAGTCAACCCATATCAGCCTTGAAAAAGTAAGTTCTATGAATATATATGTAGGAATGAATATAGGAAAGAACCAACTATTTAAAACTTGGAGGAGATTTTCAGGTATAAATTATTTTATTGCATCAACAAAGCCACCTTTGTGGATGAAAAATAATCTGAAGATGACAGTCATTCTCTTGTATTCATTTGCTATGGTATGCTTTGTGTATATTGTATAGTGCACATGTCTTTGTTCTAGTTCTTGAAGATATGAATACAGCCAACAAGCTGTCTTCCAAAGAGTCTAGCTTCCTTTATCTTTCCGATCATACCAAAAATTGTTAGTAATATCTATTTTGAGCGCGTATTCTTGTATATAGAAGATGATACATTTTTAAGATGAAAGGTATCATAATCTTTTTATATCTAAAACATATCCCTGCCATCTCGTTATTGGGCTTGACGCGAGTTTCCTACAATTTCTTCTCACCTGAGCCTCGTCATCATTCAAACCTCACTTCTCATTCCATCATCGGTTCTCATTCAAGCACCAATCCTCATTCAGGCCTCACTGTTCCTTCAAGCTTCATACAACATCTTACCAAGAACATCTACCGAAGCCTTCAGTTTACTGCAAGCAAATTGCGACGGATCTTTCTTGCCACCACGAAGGAAGACCACAAGAGGGACCTTAGTGATCATAGGGTGCAGGCCTATTGATTATGTTAACGTCCCTCCTCTTCCCCATTCTTGTTTACACCAACGATCTTGACTCCTTTATCTTTCCTGGAACATTGCATGATATTCATCATGAGCTCAATGGAAGAGAAGTCATTTCATAGGTACGCCATTTCCCCCTTTACCTCGTTCAAGCGCTGATACCGAAAAAAAGAATTTACAGGGAAAGCCCGATAAAGGCTGTTGTGGGGGAAAGCAAGACCATTTTCTATGTCCATCCCGGTGCTCTGATCCAAGGCACATATGCGTTGACCGCCAGGGTGACTGGGTCGTGGAAAACTGCCGGACAAGACTCATTGGACTGGTCCGATTTCGATGAAGAAACTATCCATTGTGCCCTGAAGTTTTGCTATGATCAGAATTACACTGTCCCACGGGGATCGAATTCGAGCAAAGGGGTACCAGCGAGACAAGAACCGGAACAGTCATCTGCCGAACACAGTGAGTCTACCAAATTCTCAGCAACTCGGCTCTCAGCTTAATGATTGCTTTTCTAGATGCTCGGTCCGAGTCTTCACTGATTCCTCCAAGCCACATGGGGGATGCTATGGTTCTGCATGCGAAGGTCTACTCATTCGCTCATCGTTATCTTGTGAGGGACCTGCAACACTATGCCCTTGTTCAAATGAAGGGTTGTTTTGGGCCTTTTCTCAAAGAGTACAATAGGCCAAGGAGTGTCTATCTGGCAGATACAATTCGGATTATCTATGGCTGTACCCCCCGGTCCGACGCCACCATGATGGATCCTGCTCGCTATGCGATGCGATTTTGTCGCCACCTCCCATAAGAAGTTCAGTCAACATTTTGCCGATTTTCAACAAGACATTGGGGACTTTATGATTGACTTAGCTACGAAACTCGCTGACCTTCTTTCCTCCGAGGAGATAATGGCACACGCATGGGAGAACGGTTTAGGAGGCCCATGAACAGTGGGGAGGATGCTTTCCGTTTCTGATCACTCTGGGCCTGCAGTGATTAGACTTGAAACAATTGCTACTTATATCATTTGCTGAATTTACTCCCTTAACCATAGGAGATATGCAAAAGCTATTCGTTCAGCGTAGAAGGTAAATAAACAACCTGTGCTGTCGTTAATTTACCATTAAGAATTTAGTAAATAGGCAATTTAGAAGACCAAGTCCTAGATATGGAGATATTTAGGTGCATGATGGAGTGTGAGAATGGAAATTGGATTGTTGAAGAAACGAGAAGCCGAGGCTAATAAATCTCTCAGTAATTCATGTTCTCCAACTGCTTCCCAGGCGTGGTGGTATTTTCTACATTTCTGCTCAACTTTGACCTTGAAAATTGGTACACAGTGGTATGAAGGACTAAATATATCATTAGATCAAGAGGCGCCGTGATGCAACTGAGAGTTAGTGTAAACCTGCTTTGTATAGTCTTCACCCTCCAAAGTAAGTAACCAGATAAATATGAAAGATGTAAAGAAAAAGGAACTGGTCAAAGATACCAAAAGGTCAGAGGTTAGAGGTTAAATATAGGTACCTGGAGCTTGTAAATAGAACAAACCCTCACTTCCGCTCCTACAACCCGTCACCGGCCCCTAAATGCGATATCCCCTGTCCAGGGAAGCCATATATAAGAAGGATTCCCGAGCTCCCATGCCGGCAGGCCCGTGGGTCCAAATCGAGGCTTGAGGCCAGTGGAGCTCCCGACTTGCCGTGAACCCTTTCCGCGGAGGGAAGTGGGAGTGACGATGCACTTTGAATTCGGTTGACACTTTGCGCGCGGGAACTCTTCAGGGTCGAGCTAGGCACGGAGTGGATTCCGCGGAATATGCTTTGGAGAACATCCGGTACTTAGACTTTCACAATTGGCTGCGTTGGAGCAGTAACAACGCTGGTTGGTGTTGTTTACAAGGAAGTGACGGGGTTTGTTGTGTACGGCGGTTTCCGAGACCAATGTGCATTCTTTTTTGTCGGAGGATAATGTAGATAGCTGAATATGTTCTTGGGCATCGGATAGGTCCGTGGTTATGCGCATGAGTTGTTTGGTTGGGCATTTCGTCTACGCTGTACTTGGAGGTCCCGGACTTGGATTACACCGGGGACCTCGGACTCTAAGAGATATAACGATACAAACATTGACTTGGCGGGTTGTACACGACTACCGAGGTCCGATGCTGGATCTTTCTTGGGCATTCACTGTTCATAGCTTAGTCTGGCATCGCTTTGCGAACCTTCCAACCCTGCCAATTCGAACACGAAGCCCATCAAATAAAAGATCCTTTTATTTCCCGTGCCATATCCAGGACAAATAGTCGGCGTTGCGCATCCCCGATCGAACAAATGACGATATTTTCCGGAGAACAATCCTCCGCTCTCTTACCGACTTGCCCGGTCCTTTTGAAACGATCTTGGAAGTCGACGACTTATATCCGTAATCGTCACAAAGGACCAATACCATGGAGCAGATGCAGCACCAGGGACGGGGTGAGAATCCACCCTAGAAGCTTACCTGACATGATTATTGCCGGTAATCGGCGGAAAGGAGCCAGAAGCAAGCCCAAACCGGAGGAATCTGTGTAGACTAGCTCTGTCAACTCAACGATAGTAGCGGGAGCCGCAGCTCCATACAAATAAAAGGGGGATCATTTAGAATCTCACTGGATTAGATTGGTCGGCGACCAGGGGGTGTAAGGACGGGCCCACCACAGCGTCAGCGAAATGATGGTCGGCCGATTGGACTGCCGTCCGAGGAGGCTCGGATCATGGCCCGAGGGAAGCGGGAGAACATTACTGAGGTGGAATAGCCGATCAGACTTATCCATCCCGCCGATAAGCTAGTCTCGTCTATTGGATTCTAGGCACGGTGACTGTGCCAGAGCTCCCAACAATTAAATGATAGTCCGATATACGGCTTATCCGTGCGTTTGTATCAAATGTTCAACGTAAAATAGATTTCGTTGGGAAACTGTGCTGGGAATAGCTTGCAGCCTGTGTTCCTGAACAGGATATGAATCGGACATCTGTAGCAGCATGTGCAAGTATATAGTATTTGATCTCCGAGATATGCCCAGAGAGATTGTGTATGCGTTGTCGGGTATATCAGTATGAACGGGATCCCGATAAGTTCTCGTGGGGAATTCCAAAAGGGTTTAGCTCTGGTGGGGATTCCGAGTTTAGCTCGTGGCACTAATATAGTTATCTGCCGCGTTTATGTAGTTGTAGGCCTCGGGAGGATCAACGGAATGGTAGTCTACAGTCTGTTAAATATCAGACAGTATTGGACACAGTCTGGGGGTATTCAAATGCTCTCCTGACATGGGTATGTGTACGTATGTATATTGTAAATGGCAAGTTCGTGGAATGCAGGATCGTCAAGCTATACCCCCGCATTTTGACAAGCTCCATAGCGTGCAGACATGTCCACGTTCGCGCATTGATAATCGAAATGATGTAGATATCATTGGTCCAACACGTAAATCCTTGGTGGAGAGGCCTAGTTCTGGCGACTTTCGCTCCATGGCTGCCCAGGGAAATCCCATACATCATTCCCGTCTCCATATTGTCTCCATATTGTCTCCATCTCCATACTAGACGGGGAATTCACGGCTAGCCATCGGTTGAGGGTCGGTTGAAAGGGAATAATCTCCGGTTCGGAATGAGTTCACGGTTGTGTAGATTATGAGATTTCAGTATATTAGACAAGCTCAGGCCCCCTTGTCCCCGTTTTGACCCTGTATAGTTGTACCGGAGCACTTGAATCTACACGACATAACCACCCCGCACCTTCTCTGTCTTGTGACATTTTTTCTGTCTCCCCTCATATTATCTCTCTTTGCTTTCTGTTCTCTGTTATTCATCTTCAACTGTTCCGTTGACACCTGCTATCCTGAGTCATTCGTATCAAAGCAACTACGTCATCGGTAAGTACCATGGTCCAAGACACCCGTGAACAGTCCCCGTGGCTTCTTAATCCACCAAAGAGATCTTGCTAATCTTCTGAAAGGATTTTCTTATCGTTAGTGCATCTCCCGCGTTTCTCGACGTTCTACGCCTATACATCGTGCATTGTATTGACCTTCATCTAGGACCTTAATACTTCACTATGGCATCCACTATCAAGGACAGCGCCAGCGATGCTGCTGTCTCTGCACAAAATGCAACCAAGTCCGCTATTGAAAACCCCAAGTCTAAGGACTTCCTGCACCACCCGTACACACGCGCCGCCCTGCCCTTCATCAACGGCGGACTAGCCGGCATGACCGCCACAGTTGTGATTCAACCCGTCGACATGGTCAAAGTGCGCCTGCAGCTCGCCGGCGAAGGAGCCCGCACCGGTCCTCGTCCTTCCGCCCTCGGAATCACTCGCGATATCATCGCCTCCGGCAAATTCCTCGATCTCTACACCGGTTTGTCCGCTGGCATCCTCCGCCAAGCCGTCTACACTACCGCGCGACTGGGATTCTTCGAGACATTTGTCAGGAAGCTCAATACCCGCGCGCAAGCCGCCGACCGAAATTTAACCTTCGGCGAGCGTGCTGCGGCAGGACTGAGTGCCGGTGGAATCGCAGCCATGATTGGAAATCCGGCCGACTTGGCCCTCGTGCGCATGCAGGCCGATGGCCTCAAGGCCCCCGAGGCTCGCGCCAACTATCGATCCGTCTTTGATGCTCTCGGTCGTATCACCCGCACCGAAGGCCTCGCTGCCTTGTGGGCTGGTGCTACGCCCACAGTTGTGCGTGCTATGGCCCTCAACTTGGGTCAGTTGGCTTTCTTCTCTGAGGCTAAGCAGCAGCTTAAGCAACATACTTCTCTCTCGTCTCAGAGTCAGACTTTTGCTGCTTCCGCCATTGCCGGCTTCTTTGCTAGTTTCTTGTCTCTGCCTTTCGATTTCATCAAGACCCGTCTTCAGAAGCAACAGAAGGACCCCAAGACTGGCTTGCTTCCTTACAAGGGCTTGATGGATTGTGCGCGCAAGGTTGCCAAGGACGAGGGTTGGTTGCGCTTCTACCGTGGCTTTGGAACTTACTACGTCCGGATCGCTCCTCATGCGTTAGTTGCCCCCACTATTTTACCTCGGCTGTTTCCCCACTAACTCGATCTGCAGAATGGTCACCCTCATCGTGGCTGATTATCTTAACCTCCTCACCAAGTAAACTTTGATTTTACCGGCTTTGAAAGCCTGGATTTTTTCGGGTTTCATTCTTTTAAATTGCTGTCCGATTACACAACACCGCCATGACCCATTGCTCAGTTACGCGATTTCATATTCTCAGCACGCCACAAAGTCTATTGATAGACACAATCTGCTATTTTTAACATCCATGGGAAGCGCGGCGTCCGGAGGAGGACAGCCAATCCAACTCCGAGACACTTTATGCTCCGTCTGGTCTGTGTGCAACACACAAACCCACCCTCCCTACAATGACAAATTACCCACGGTATATTTGGTTCCTGGACATTCGGAAAACGTGGTACCGGCGAAGGGCCATTCCCAATTACAATTTCCTTTTCATTCCCGGGGAGAGCAAATGAAAATGGGTCGGGGAGAGGATACGAGGCTGGCCGGTCTACTCCGCGGAAAGCCAGCACAACAACAAAAATACAACGCATAGTCTTTGTCAAGTCCTTGCTCGTTCTCTGTTTCGTTTTGTTTGTTTTGCTTTTGCTGCGTTTTCGACAAGCGAATACCCCCTTGTCTTTCTGTTGTTCTTTGCCTCTGTCATACTTTACGTCGTGGTCTTGGGCCACGATGTCTGCTTGAGGTAGAGTGAATAGATAGCTTACTTGCCTATTACTCATCAATAGTAAAACAGTCTAATATCTCTCTGATTCATGTAGGCTTATATTCGTCAAGGGCTAAGGTTAAGTTTCTAGTAAAGAAATAATAGGACTCCTCTTACCATTTGACTGCGGGTAACTCCTGTGTATTGGATAATCCGTTTCGGAAAGGTCTTTCTGCCACGGACTTGGAGCATTTGAACTTATTGACCAGCAATATTGAGAACGACTGTCTAGCGGTGGCTCCAGGTGACCATGTCTTCGGAAGGCGGCATTGCCCTTCATTTTAGTTACGAATGGGATAAATGCGTAGACATAATTGAAGTCTTTCCATTATTTATGTGAATGTATTCCATTCCAGAGGCGGAGCCGAAGGCAGGCCCTACAGAACAGAAACACAAATAAGAAGGATAGACATGCCATCGTGAAAGTGAAAAAGTTCACCATTAAAACCGACTTCGTAAAAATAGAGACCCAAAGTGCACCACTGGCAATATGCGATCCAGGTAGCCGGGAATCACAAGGGGGCAACGTGAAAAAGATAAAACCAGAAGAACGACCGTCCACGATCAAGGCCCAAGCCCAGGCTCAAGTCCGATCCACCACAGAGCAACTAAGACGCCCGTTGCAAAAACGAAAAGAAAAAAAGATCACATTCCATCCAATTCTCTTCGAGTTCATATTAGTTCTGGTTAGATCTTATCATCGCCAACACGCCTGGACTCAATAGCACCAGGCGGCAGTACATCCTCAAGCGTCTCGCCAGTACCCTCCAGCTCTTCCTCCACGGGAACAGAGTCCTTAATCTTGAAAAAGACGACCGGAACAGCGATGAGGATCGAGCCGCACAGCAGACCGAAGTTCGAGGCGTACTCGTTCATGAATGGAATCTTCTTTTCATCCAACGACCACATAACCGCTGCGCCGGCGGATTGCAGACCCTTGTAGAAGCCTGCCAAGTTGGCGAGCTTGCGGCCGGAGTTACCGAGGGCGCCCATGATCCTAGAAGAAGCCAATGTCAGTCCCGAGGTATGGCAGGGAAGAAGAGGGAGGGGAATCTTACCAGTAGACAATACCCTGCCAGGCAGCATCGTACATGCCATAGAAGAAGTAGAGGAACATAGGACCAACGTAGCCTTTGGTAGTCCAATCCCAGCCCTTGAAATCCGTGGTCTTGGGGTCCACATCCGCACGGGTGTACCTCACCTGCCAAGCGTAGCCACTACCCCAGATAACGACCGTGAGGATGAAAAGGACGACCAAGGCTGCCTTAGCACGAATGGAGCGACGAACGCGCTCGGTATCAAGCAGGGGACCCATGATGACAGCGGCCACGATCTGTGCAAACCAGTACAGGAATCCATTCAGTGCCTTGGTGCGTGTGTTGAAGTAAGCGCCGTTAATGGCGTTCTGCTGGTATGTGTAGAACCAGTTGGAGGACCAGAACATGGGGAAGAGGAGGATGATCCATGGTTCCGAGCGAACTGTATCCCACAGTCCGACGATCTCGGACTTCCAGGAGGGGTGCTTCATCAGGATCACGCGCGAGCCGTCGGCACGGACAACTTTGTCTGCGTCGCAGAGACACAGGGCAAGACAGGCGCCTGCGAACATGAGTACGATAAAGGCGATGTAGGTACCGTCGCCGACGGTCTTGTTCTCTTTGACCCCGATGTTTTGGCCCAGGGGGATCTTTAAATTGACATGTTAGTTGTTGTTGATGATATATGATATAGCCAATTGCGACTATAGGGCCAGGTAAGGGGTCTGGGCTGGTCTTACCAAGCTACCAATACAGGCGCCGACATTGAAAATGGACCAGAACCAGGCGAAGTAGCGGCCCTTCTGCTGCTCGATCGGGTAGGACATCATGATGGTTCCCTGGGCGGCCCAGAGCAGACCCGCGCACACACCGAGGAAGGCGCCGGCGAAGATGTTGAAACCGGGGACATATGCATGCTCGGAGACCAGAAGACTAATGGAGTAAATGCAGTAACCGACTCCACCGAAGGAGAGGGAAAGACGGACGCCGAGACGGTTGACGACTGTTCCGGCGAAGAAACCCACCACGGCGAAGGTACTGTTCAGCGCAATGTTCTGTTGTTGTTAGAGTGTGAATATACTAAAATGCGACCAAATCGGAGTTTCGGAGTATCAGATGTGAAGAGTGGGGACATGAGATAGAGGACAAAAAAACAAATGTCCCGAGGTCAAATCGTACCATTTTATCAGCCAAGCTAGGGTCGGACTTGCCACCACCGCCCATCCCGCTCAAGGCGTTGAACATGCCTGGGCAGAGGAAACAGACGAAGGCGACCATACCCAGCTGGATGCGAGGCGAGGCATACCAGCTCGTTGTGAACTTGCCGATCTTACTGGACTTGTACATCCATCCTGCGGGTCGGGGTACGTATTCTGGTTCGGAGGAATATTCGATGGGAGTCTTCCGTTCATCCATTATGAATGAAGGCGGAGTCGAGGCCGCAGAAGAATAGAGTAAAATGTGTAGAGAATATTAAGAGGTGTGTGGGGAGAAGGGAAGATCAGAAAGGAGACATGAAGATCTTTAAAACAAAAAATTAAAGATAGCAAGTTTGTACGATGTACCCTTACCACTGGCCTTTCGAAGAGAAAGGTATAGGCCAAGAAAGCAAGTCCAAATTACAATGAAGAGATAGATGTATCAACAGCCAAAATAGCCCTGTGTATGTTGCAGGGTAGCATTGGGTTCGGTCACGGGCTGCTAGCTTTCTGTGGCTGGCCTTAACAAAAAGGACAGGCTTAGATATTGGTGGGAGATACAATTGGACAGGGGTTCTTACTTGCGGGGGGTCTAGGTGATTGGGGGCTAGGGCGCTTTGATAGCAGTGTTACACCCTGATGGCACTGTTTCTCTGACCGGTAGAGCGGGTTGTCGCGTGAGAATTACTGGGGAAGATGTAGTATTTGTAGGTCATCAAGGTTACTATGGGGCTTTTCGGCTAATAGAGTTAGAGATTAATTAGAGTCACATCCCGCAATAATAAAAAAGGGAAACCAAAAAATCCTTCGGCTTGGGAGACTATAAGCGATTAAAGGAGAACGAGGGACGCTAACCTTCAAACAGCTATTGCCCACGTTGATTGGCTGATTGACCCCGGTCCCACAAGCCAATCCGATGGCTCAACTGCGGGGAGACCACGAGGGGACTAGCGTAATCTTCCAAAGTTTCTTGTTTCGGAATTTTAAATGGGCTTGACATCTGTCTACACATTGTGATCTGTAAGATGCCATAAATCTGATGATCTGAGGCTCTATTCTAGGTAGTACAGATACAGTCAGCTTTGGATCTAGAGAAGATCTGGAAAAAAATTCCCGAACATGTGTTTGAAACGTTCCATTTTCTCGGTTTAAGGGAACATTTGAAAGGAACTTCATTTAAAACCGAAATAGACGGTATCATGCATATGTATCAATCACTATCTTGGCTTTCTCCTTCCACTTCCTCATCCTCGGACCCGCTCTCGACTTTGGGTTCAATATCACTATCACTGTCTTCACTCTCTTCACTGTCCTCACTGTCATCTTCATCCTGTTCTTTCTCACTCTGCACATCCGCTTGTTGCACATCCTTCTGGGAATCCACAGTTGCATTCTGTTCCTCGCTCTCCTCATCTTCATCTTCCACATCCCCATTCTCCTCTTCACTCTGTCTTTCTTCGTTCTGCACTTCCTCATTCTGTCTTTCATCGCTGGGAATTTCCTCATCCACTTCTTCATTCTGCTCTTCTTCGTTCCCCGGTTCATCGATCCCCATATCTTCGGTCTGCTCTTCTTCATTCTGCCCTTGTTCAATCTCAACCTCTTCGTCCTCCCCTTCTTCGTTGTCGGGTTCCTCAATTTCCACCTCTTCGTTCTGTTCTTGTTCAATGTCCACCTCTTCATTCTCTCCTTCTTCACTCTCCCCTTCCGCATTCTCCACATCCTCAGGCTCAGCATCTTGACTCTCCGCATCGTCACTCGACTCATCATCAGATTGAGCGGCCCGAGTAGCCTGACTGAGCGGCTCCATTTTGACGCGCTGTGAGGGAGGCTGGGCATCAACATCCATAGCATCATCATCGCTTTCCACGTCACTACCCAAGGTAATACCGGTACTTCGATCCTTCTGCTTTCTTCCATCCCCTTCAAGGTGATCATCTTCTTCTTCACGCTCCTGGAGCTCTTGGGCACGGCGAACACGTCGTAGTAGAACAGGATCTGGGCGCAAATCGTCCGCAGTCAACGGAATAGAACAAACAGGGCATTTGACCACATGGACGCGGCGCTGTCCCCGACGAGATGCCGGGGGCGCGATAGTCGTCGGACTGCTTTTGATCATATCCATAATGGCCTCCCGCTCGAAGCTGTGTGGACATTTAGTGCTCGTTACAGGATCGACGTAAGGTGTGAGAGTCAATGGGCATTTGAGGGAGATGCGCTCGCGCTCAATAGCAATGTCATCGTCGGAGCCGGCGGGCGAGAGCCCACGGTTCTGGTTGCGCGTACGTGCCGGTGCCCCTGATCGTGCATTCGTATCTTCCATGTGTTCGAACCATGTAGATGAGTGGGGCAATGGCGGGACGTCGTCGCCGGGGAACTTGGAGTCGTGTACCATCCGGTAGAATCCGATGTAGGAGTTATTGCTGGCATATCTAGATCGTAGTTGTCAGTTTCGGCGGCTTCGAGTATAACAGCCAAAAACATGACTAGGAATAAATCACATACCTCTCTGTCAAAGAAAGCTCATCCCACTTCTGAACGCCCTCCGTCAACTTATCGACCAGCTTGCGACTAGGCGGGTTCTGTGCATTGCGCTCCCGCATCTCTCTCTCCTGCGTATCTTCATAATCACCATCGGTGGGATCTTCAGTCCCATCGGCATCATCGTCATTATTGGCTCTCTGCCTTGCTCGCTGTTGACGGGTCTGCCTCACACCCAAAGCAGCAGCGACAGTCTCACCCTCCTCCCTTTCAATTTGACCCATCGCATCCGTGAGCCCCTGGAGTTTTATTTCTGAATCGACAATTAATCGTGTCTTCTCCTCCATCCGCGCAGTAATAGCATCGACTCGAGTCTCTACCTCAGCAAGCCGCTGGTACTCCTCATTGGCCTCGTCGTCATCGACATCCTCATCGCCTTGACGCCGGCGTGCTTCTTTTAGTTTCTCATATCGAGTCCTGGCATCGCTAAGACGCTCATTTACTTCACCGCCTGAGTATGTGAGTTTCTCGGCTGCATGTTGAAGGTGGGTGCGGAGGGTGCGGAGGTGCTGTGATGCGAGGAGGGCGGCGATTTGGCGCTGGCTTTCTGCTGTGAGAGGGGCCTCGGGAGTCTCGTATTCTGGCAGGGGTGTTGCTTCTGAGGCTGAGGTGCGGGCTGCGTTTCGTCTGCGCGATTGTGCTGATTGTGGATGGGACTGAGATAGCGCTGAGTGCCGTCGGCTTGGTGTTGCCGACATTGTTGTGGGGGAAGAATTATTGTAGTTGGAGGGTTGGTGAGATCCGGATTAATGGGGGTTTTATGCTTTGATTCGAGTACAGGGTTTCCAATCCGTTGACAAAGAAAGTCCAAGTAACAAAGCACATCTCGAAATCCCGACGCGAGACGCGATGACACTAATCCTGTTTGGGGTACATATATCAGCGATAAGCCTTATCGCTATGGAGTGGGCCTTACATTGGAAGTATGTCGAGTATATTTTGTCAAGAAACACTCTCATGTTTATCTCTTCTGCGTCGTCCACGTCCGTGTTCCTGTGGCTTTGTGAAGCCAAGGCAAACGGCGACCTATTGGATGAATTTACGAGTAAATCTTCCCCATAATCACCCGTCACTTCAAGCTCTCGACATATTTTCCTTTCGTGCCATACAAAGAGAATATCTCATGAATGATCTCCAGATCGGAGGTGCAAAAGATCAAGATATGCAAACAATGTTTTTATCTGTGGTTTGAAGTATTCAGCCTCACCAGCAATAGACCGTCTTGGCAATCGACCAGGCCAGAAGCTGCCGCTGTTCTTGAAGCTCCCAAAACACTGTCCTACACGACCCTCGCCGTTGAATCAAACTTTTAGGGGAATGTAAGCCAACATGTTGACTTGAAATATCTTGTTCGTGTCCTAAACCCATTCACTCCTAGCTGAATATAGAATTGACATTACAGGATTGTATATATCACTAATTACATCGAACAAGCCCCCATGCTTGAACCGGTGTCACGGAAGCTCCGGTGCAATATTCCACCCACAATTGTTTTGCAAGATTTATTACTCGAGTATCACAAAATAGCCTCGGTATTACTACAATTCTCCCCGACGAGCTACATTGTGATGTCTACATACTTAGAACGACGAAGTTAGAATGGGATGCCTTAATTAGAGGCAACGACCTACCAGGGACAAAGCTTCCTTGTTTATTAGATTGCATATTCTGGCATTTGCTCTGAAACCTATCCCAATCGAACGACAGTTGCAACGACCATCACGCCCCAATCCAACTGCCATATCAAAGATGCGGGTGGCTTGGCGTCCGTATACACATCTGATTTGGGCACTGATCTGCATTTACAGAAGACTATAACGTAGCAACCTGATGCAGCGCTATCCCTTCTAGCGGTGTATATGCCGCCGCCAAGATACCCCAGTGGCTGCTCACATGCAGCTCCCAACTCGATTATACTCCACAATCAACCCTAAAATCCCAAAAAGTGGATAACACATAGAAGCCCCGATATAAGATTAGACTCTGAGGCTGGGCCTCAGCCTTGGCATATCGCCAGGTCTCACCGTATAAAGCTAGCCTTGCGCGCAGCCCCCACTAAGCCCAACAGCTCATTCTTACTGCGGCATCTTGGTACGGTAAACCAACGAGTTCAGTAGGCAGAATCTATGGCATTTTTCAAAGAGGTACAAGTTTTTACAATCACTATTTAGATAATTTTGCAATTTTAGGATTCCCTCCACATATATAAAGGATCGAAATGCCTAGGGAAAAAATCCCGAACTATAGCCATTAATATATTCATCCTTTGACCTAAAAACCACTCCTATCAAGCCCAACTACCTCAAATATGCATATCCCAAACCCCTCTTCCATCCTCTTCCTCCTCCTCGCAATCCAAACAACCGAAGCCTGCAACCCAGCCCGCCGCGATGCCAACGCCCCAAACCCCTTCACAATAGGCACCGACGGTCCAGCCCCGGAGGCAACAAAAGGCTTCGCCCTAAACCACATCGGCCTCCTGACCACCAACCTCTCCGCCATGAAGAACTTCTACGGCAACATCATGGGCATGCGCAATATCTTTGACGCACAAGTAACGCCCGAGTACACCGTAACCTACATGGGCTACGCACAAGGCGGACGGAACGGCACCGGTTTCCAAACCGGGGCAGAGATGGCGACGGCCAAGAACAACATGTACGGGCTGTTGGAGCTGGTGCAGTTTAATGTCTCGGACGACCGGCTTATTGCGTCGACCGAAAGGACTAATACCTTCGGACATGTTGGGCTTGTTGTTCCTGATGTTGTAGAAGCGCAGAAGTATCTTGAGGCGCAGGGGGTGGCGATTCTTAAGAGGGTTGGTGAGGCTGTGGAGGATTTTACTGGGCCTGTGCCTAACTCGATGGGAATTGGAGAGTTTGCTGGTTTGCACCTTGCGGCTAAGAGGGCGCTTGTTAAGGCGCAGGGGTTGATTGGATTTGAGATGTTTTTGATGGTTACGGATCCTGATGGGAATGTGGTAGAGATTCAGCAGCAGGATGTATAATAGGGTGAGAGGTGGGAATAGTAGGCTCGGAAAGTGAGAAGGGCAACTGGAGATTTTATTGAAGGGAGTGGATATGCCGGTGGACGGGGTTGTTTTGAGGATTGTAATTATCAAGGATGATTTATGTCATATAAATGTTGTTGGAAACTCTAGTTATTTTGATATTCAAGGAAATGGTTCTTTGGAATTGAAGATACAAATGCTGACCGAGGAAGATTTTACACAACAGTCAATGGAATATTCAAGTACCCATGATAGCCTACACCTTGTAGAAGCAGTATGCATGATAGAAGCCTAGCGATGTCATCTGTTAGCAGCTGAGAAAAGCAATGCATTTAGGGGAATTACTCACTGACGGCCTCCTTCTCTTCCTCTGTCATATTCAAAGCACCAGTGACGCGGTCTCTTACACCCATCCGCTCACTGAGCGGGCCCAGCTCAGGGTGATTCTTCTCATCCTCCCAGATATCCAAAAATGGCTTGCGGTATTGTAGTTCCAGGTTGTAATCTTCGGTCAGGCTGGGTAAAAAGTTAGTTAGGTATGCATGTAAGAACGTGATTATGGCCGACACTCACGCTCGGAAAGCCTCCCATGGAACGACGTATTCGGGAACCTCTTCCACTGCCTCCTTCATGAAGTAACTGTACTTCCACCCGAAAGGCGGACGGAAGATTCCATCCTCGGGGGTTGCGCCAGGGAACTGAACGCGGTAGATATCGTTGCCCCACTGGGCCCGCTCATCTTCCTCGACTTCACCATCCTCGGGGCCTTCCGGCTCAGTGGGTTTGGCAGCCTCGCGCTCCTTGCGCTCCTTATGGAAGGTAGACACGCGGCTGGTAATGACGTCTGAGTTGGGGCAAACGCCAAGGAAACGACCGCCTTTCTTCAAGCAACCAGCGACATTGCTGAGCATTTGGCGTGTCTTCTCCTCAGTCTCAAAGGCATAATGAATGGCAAACATAGATGTGACGATGTCAAAGCCTCCACCGCCGTAGCGAGAGGCCATGATAGACCCACCAGGGCCGGCATTAGCATCGATACCAACCCGCTGGATGATGTCGATATCGCCGAGCCACTCGCCAAAGCAGTCTTTCGGGTAAAACTCGGCATGGAAGATCGGCTGGGGTGGTCGACGGCCTCGCTGACCACGACCTGTGCGCATTTGATCGTATCGACCCCGCGCCTGCTCAATCGAGATGTTGGCAGGGTCAAGACCGACATAGAGGTCAACCGGCTGAGGTGCCAACTGCCACTTGCCCAGATCGCCACCCTTACCACAGCCCAAATCCAGTACGAGAAGCTTTTGATCAGCAGGGGGCGGCGGCCCTTGGCTGTCGTTCGCCCAGTCCTTGCTATCCTCGAATCGCGCGACAAATGTCTCATCGGGAGAGAACTTCTGGATCAGAGTACTCTTCACCCAGTTGTTGAAGCTTCGTAGACCCTTGATCTTGCTCTCTGTCTTCCGCCACTCACGGCCTCTCTCGGGGACCGCGTTATAGTGTTGTCGGACCACGTCCGAGACACCGCGCTGTTGAGAGTTGCGCATAGCCTCATCCTGTTCTGCTCGCTCACGCTCCTCCTGTTTGCGTCGTAGTGTTTCACGGTCTAAGAGCCCCTGTCGCGCCCCGCCACCTGGTCTCTTGCGTTGACGCGGTGCATCGGGGGAGGGAGAGCGGCGTGGCTGTAGTGGCGATCGAGAGCGTCGGTCTTCGCGTGGTGGAGCGCCACCTGGGCTGCGGGAGCGGTTGCGTCGCGAGAATACCGACGGCGGAGTGCGGCCCCGTTTTCGGAGGGCTTGATGTCTCTCCTGGAGTCTCTTGCGTTTGGATGCCGCGCTTGATAAATGGTTCGATCCGTCTGCCGGACCGTCTCCTTCGATGCTCCTGTGTCTGCCGGTATCTGTTGGAGGGTGTGTGGTATTCGTGCGGACAGGCGAGCGGGGGTGGACCGCCCAGGAGCTCTATCATGAGCTCCATCTCCATTGGGATGATCCATGGCGACGTGGGTAGAGTTGCGAACTGTTCAAAGAAGTGATTCGGGAGAACAATGGTCGCGGGGATCTGGCGAGGAAAGAAAGAAAGGTGTATGCCGAAATTAGAATAACCTTAGAAGAGATAGAGAATTTTAGGTTAATTTCACAGAAACAGTGCCTCCGGAGTTATGGAAGTCAGAGTTATATCAGAATAATGGCCAGCGCTGGGGGTCCGAAGAAAGTCCAATGAGCTCCGGATCTCGACCAATCAGAGCGTTCCAACCCAACCCTAAATTCCCATTCATCTGTCTACAATCTGTCAATACATAGTAGGTTCTTAAGATTACTGTGTCTAGGCATAAACATGAGATGGATGTATTCTCACCATTGCGAAGTGTCGTGTCTCACAATGACCATAAATCGAAGCTATCTGGAAAACACAAACCGCTGAAAGGTGCACTTTGACCCTCTTCATAAAACCCGCGCCCCCAGTTAATGATGTAATATTGAACAGAAATGAAGATCAGAATGCAAGATCATTGAGGCAAGACAGGTTTCCGTTTTGGCGACTTGGCCGTCAAAACCTGTCTTACTCGTCGAATTTTCGCCCACCACTCGCGGTCTGCTTTCTTTTTCGCATCCGCGTTTTCTTCTTCGCCTGCAGTCTCGGTTGGTGTGTCTAGATCCGTCCGCAGTGTATCGGTGGAGGCCATAGTGCGAACTCTGCGGCGATGTTTGACCTTTACGGCCTCCGCGACGATCTGCCACCCAGCGCGTAGTTCCGCCAACTTGTCGTTGGGCCGCCCAGTGCCACTTTGGGCTACCTTGTCAATCCAGGGACAATACTCCATGTGCTCATCGGCCACATCGAGGGAAGTGTAGACGGTCACGTCTCCATTGTCTTTGGGTTTGTACATCCATAATCCCAGGCGACGGAAACACGCACCGCACCCGACTAACCCCGCAGCTCCATCGGAGGCAGTATCCCAGCCGAGCAATGCTAGCGCCAGTGCAGCTCGATTAACAGCTTTAGGTGTTTCTGTTGAGTCTTGGTTGCCGAGGTTTGTAGGATTGGTCTCTCCGTCGGTGGGTACAGCAGCTTTCTCGACCTCTTTGAACCATTCCTCAGGCAGACCTTTGATAAGGACATCAAGGTCAAGCCCTTCTGGGGTCTGAACAATATCATCGGCTGGTAATTTATCGCCCATTTTCGAGATGTTTGTATATCGCTCGTGAAGTCCCGATAGGGCAGTATCACAATTGGTCAAAGGGAGATGTTGGATAGTGGCTAATTTGATGTTAGTCATGGAATGAAAGGTGCTCAGTGTCCTATTCAGACTCACCATCACAGCTCTTGTTTCGCCAGGGACAGTTTTCGCCATGAGCACTACTCAGCATTTTCGCATACTCTTCCACCAGCCTCGCACCTGCAGGCATGTAGGTTAGCATATAACCCCATTTAACCGGACCAGCAATCTGTTGGATTACTCACGGACTTCCTTCCGCTCCTCCACCTTCTCAATGTTGAAACCATCGAGCTCATCGATTTCATCCGGAAGCTTCACAACGACTGCGCCACCACAATCACTCACGCAGGTGACGCGCATAACATCCGTACATATCCAACCACGCTTCGCCCATTGTACTTCATTGATCGGAGACGGCTTTGATGTCCATCGGTCGACACGGCGGAAGGTCTCTAACCGCTCGAGAAAACGTTCGCGGTCCCAGGGGACAAAGGTTGGGCGCTTATTCGAATTTGCGGAGGCTATTCGGTGCGCTGGTCGCGAAATCTTGTGGATTGAGTTGCGCACCGCGGTGAGCTCTGAACGGTCGGCACTGGCCAAGCGTACTTTCTTGATCGACAAGTTGGTGGATAGACGGTCTTGCGCCGTCGTCGGCGTCGCAGGGGCTGGTTTGGGCGTGCTGTCGGATGTAAGAGGCTTGGATATTGATTCGAGAACACGGTGGAACTTCCGCTTCTTTGATTCGAGAGCGTAGGACATGTTGGCGCTGCGCTGTTAAGCAAGTGAAGTGGTGCGGATCAATACAACGCGGATTGGAGCTGCGACGATCATAACGCCCGAGTTGTATCCGCCTGAGGCACCAACATCGATATTGGGCCCATACAAGGATACTCACAGTCAATTCTAAATCGAACAGTATAGATGTCAGTATTCTCTCAATTAGCAATTTAACTCCACTGTCAGCTGTTGTGTACTGTTGACATTGCTATTCCACTCCGACAAATGCTCCACTGCTGATTGGCTAAGGCATTCCGTGACATCGTACAATCCCCAAACTTCACCAACTTTCTTCTCTCACTCATCTGCCTTAACCATGGCTTCTCTGGGGAGCTCTCTGTCGCTATGGCGGGGTGTTGCGCCTCGTTTGGCCAAGGATTTTTTCACATCCCAATGCCTCCCAAGTCAGGGCTACGCAGCCAAAACAATCCGCCAATTCGGTGCCCTCCAGTTCCGCCAACCCACCCAGATTCAATCGACCCTTCTAAACAATAAGAAATTTTTCACCTCCAGTCTCAAGCGTTCAAATGCCGCACCGGCCATTGCAGAGGCGGTCGGAGAGGGGGCAGCGAAAGGCAAATCGAGCTTCCCCAAAATTAGCGATAAGACCGTTGCCTACTGGCTTCTAGGCAGCGCGGCCAGTGTTTTTGGAATTGTGGTCTTCGGTGGTTTGACACGCTTGACAGAATCAGGGTATGTGGCCTGGGCTGCTTGGTCTTTACGAAAAGTGAGCTTCGGATGCTGACGGGACAAATTTTGGCATAGATTGAGCATCACCGAATGGCGACCTGTTACTGGTTCCCTACCCCCAATGAACGCGGAACACTGGGAGGCTGAGTTCTCGAAGTACCGCGCCTCTCCCGAGTTTCAATTGCTTAACCCGAACATGACTCTATCCGAGTTCAAGTCGATCTACTATATGGAATGGATTCACCGGCTCTGGGGCCGGTTTGTCGGAATCTCGTTTGTGCTGCCTGCAGTCTACTTCGTCGCTCGAAAGAAGGTCTCCACGCCCATGGCGTGGCGTCTCTTTGGAATTGCTGGTCTTATTGGTTTCCAGGGTTTCCTTGGCTGGTGGATGGTTAAGTCTGGCTTGAAGGATGATCTCTTTGCTCCGGGCAGTCACCCGCGAGTGAGCCAATACCGTCTGACTGCTCACTTAGGTGCTGCTTTCGTTTGCTACGTCGCGATGTTGTGGAATGGTCTTGCTATTTTGCGATCCAATCGGTTGATGGCCGACCCGGCTGCTGGAATCAACCAGCTGAATGCGCTGCGCAACCCGAAGCTGGCCTTCTTCCGCCGCTCAGTTGCTGGTATTGCTCTCTTGGTCTTCACAACTGTCATTTCCGGTGGCCTCGTCGCTGGTCTTGATGCTGGACTCATCTACAACGAATTCCCATGGATGGGTCAAGGACTAGCACCTCCAAAGGAGGAGCTGTTCGATGCCCGCTACTCCCGCCACGAGGACCGCTCCGATCTTTGGTGGCGCAACATGCTTGAGAATCCTTCTCTTGTTCAGCTTGACCACCGCGCCCTTGCAATGACCACCTTCACCGTCATTTGCGCCTTGATGGCTTACACCCGCGGCTCGCCTACCATGAAGCGCTTCCTGCCGGCACCTGCTAGAAAGGGCGTCCACGGCGTGTTCGCGTTCGCCTGTTGCCAAGTCGGACTCGGTATTACTACTCTTCTCTACCTCGTTCCCACTCCGCTTGCCTCCGCCCACCAGGCTGGCAGCTTGTTCCTCCTGACCTGGGTCATGATTTTGGGCAGCCGAGTCTGGCATCCGTCGCGTACTGCCAAGCTGTTGCAGATGGCTGTGAAGGCTCGGTCCCAGCAGCTTTCTAGCACTGCTGCCTCTGCCGTGAAGAGAGTCTAACAACCTTGCCTCTCGAGTGTATGAATATGTCGGCCAGGGTTGATTGTGTTGAACAATCCCCTTGGCAATTGATACCATCTCCATTCATCTGTTGACTCGAGTGATGCTCGAGTCTTATTGTATAACTAGCATAACTACGCATTCATTGTAAAAACACATTTTGAACTAAAACAAAGTTTATTGGTTGATCTGCCCAAGTCCAAATTGATATCCAAAACGTGCGCCAATCCGTTTTTTTTTTCTTCTTCTTTTCCTTACTTTTTCTTCTTCTTCTTCATTCTCACTCTCGATACTTCTATGTCCCCAGCTTCCATGTCTTCACACTTGCCTTCCTCCATCTTCTTACGTTCAGTTTTCAGACATCAGTGGTACTTTCCTGCTCTTGCCTGCCTCTTCAAATCTCCACCCACTTACTCCGCCATCTTCGTAGAAGGTCTCGCAGCACGCGCAGGGTTGCGGCGTGTTATGATGTATCCAGCGGGCAGACCATCCTCACCAATAGGGATATCAGGCTCATTCTGAGGCCACTCCTCATCTCCAACAACCGACACCGTCATATCAGAATCAGTAGACAAAGCATCGACCTGCTTTGGCAAGACCCGGCCACGTACGGGGGCCCCTTTCTGTCCACCTGCATTATCTTTCACATTGCCAGTGGTACTGGGAGCTCCGGTTGCGTTACCGAAAGATCCAAGATCCAACAGGGTTTGCGCAGCCCTCACATCAGCAATCGACTCAGAGGTTCGGCGGTCTTGATTCCCATCAACGGATGGCCTAGACACCGGCATATCGCCGCCGCCCTCGGGGACATGAGTAGCTCCAAAGGAAGCGTGTGTTCTGTCTCCGTTTCGATCGGTCAGACACTTGCGGCAGACTTGCCAGCCACAGTTCTGGCAGCGAGACATGCCGTTCTTGTTGCGCTTGTTGCATACATCGCACTTCGCGGTGTGGGCTGCCACCTCTGAGAAGTGAACGCCGACACGCCGTTTCTGGGCTCGGTGGCTTGCGGCTGCATTGTGGTTGACCCTTTGGCGCTGGACCTGCTTGTTCGGTGGTACCCGATTCGTTAAGATTGGTCGAGGCGGGTTGGGGGAGATCTTCTCCGGGGTTGATGGCACCTGGGTGCTTGGAGATAGCGGCTCGCGGAGTGTCGTCTGCGCAGAGCTCAAAGTCGACTGAGTGGGGGTTGGTGATGCCTGAATTGGCTGGGTTTCCTTCACGCGTAGAGTGAGTTGAGGGGTGAGATGGTTCTCTGTATGATGGGCTAGTAAGCTGCACCTTTGGCCTGAGATGCGGATTCTTTTTCTCTCTTTCTTACCTCTGTTCACGTTCACATTGGGTTGACATCCTCCGGCAGAGACCTGCTGTTAATAAGTCAGTTATGTATGGTACTCTGTCTCGCATATCTATCATTCTGCACGCACGTCTTGGTAGGTAAATCCGGGCTCTCGAAACGCCTGGCTAGATTTTAGAATGATATCTCAAGGGAGAGACGGATGGATACAAACATTCTGGCTGGGGTCGGGCGGGACAAGCCATCCATTAGCTGGATAGGGTGGGTACTGGTTGGGAATGGTATTGACTTTCTGCGGCAAAGACGAACTGTTGCCTGTTCCATCGTACATATTGTCAGAAAGGTGCATGCTCGGTTGGTTGCACCTGTTGGCTTCGACAGACTCGTCGAGCTCTCGAAAAGATGGGAGACTCAGGTCTGGGATGCGAGGGAGAGGCATGGTATGATGCCCCATGATTGCAACAGAGCTGTGCTCGATAGTACTTGATGATATTTGAAGAAAGTATTGATTTGAGCGAAAAAAAAAAAAAGGAACAGGATGGGGATGTAGGAAATGGATGTGTGGTGTAGATAAAAGGCTTGGGGTTGATGAAGGTTCTCAGATGTAAGTTGTACTGGGCATTGTTATATACAGTCTCATGGGATCGGATGGCGCCTGGTAGTTTGAGGAGAGAGCCGCGTAAGGGCAAGCAAACAGATTGGAACCCTCGAAAACATAGTACAGATATGATTAAATTCAGCAGCTGGTCAACCTCCAGTCAATCTCATTAGGGCTAACTATTCGTGAGTCCACGGCCTACCTTCTAGAGAAGAGATATCTGATATCTGATATCTGCTTTACCTTAATACCAACCCATCTTGAATCATATACAACTAAGGATATGTTGAGACCGTTTCTGCCCCAGGTTGATAGGACCTGCTCCCCACCTTGATTGATCTTCCTTCCTCTCTCTCCTAGTCAGCTGGCTCGATACGACCCATGATTTCCTTTCCAATAATATTGTTTGAAAATTGGCTGTATCGCCCTGATATTCTTGAGGACCTATTTTATCTGCCGCATTTATCATAAAACGGATAATTGCATGCAAACCCCAATACGCATCACACATCAATAGCATCAACATCCTTTTCTCAGGGAGCCATGTCATTTTATTCATTTGTGGGCTGTATATTCATCGTCAGTGATATCGGCTCGTGGAAATTTGCTGATATTAATAACATACGGATTCCTTCCTCGGGGCTGGGCTCGATACCGACGACTTCGGCAGCTGTCTTGTGGTCGGCAGCGGTCTTGTCCTCCTTCATCATGGGGAAGGTCATCACCTCCTTGATGCTGTAGTTGTCGGTAAGGAACATGACCAGGCGGTCAATGCCCATACCCCAGCCACCAGTCGGGGGCAGACCGTACTCGAGGGATTGACAGAAATTCTCATCAATCATCTGAGCCTCGTCATCACCCTGGTCCTTCTGATTGGCCTGCTCCTCGAAGCGCATACGCTGATCGAAGGGATCGTTCAACTCGGTGTAAGCATTTGTGATCTCCTTGGTGCTATGATTGAGTTAGCTAAGATGCCCTGAAAGCTGATTGGCCAATTTTGGACCAATTTTCAGTAGGGAAAATTTGGGGAAAACAGGGATGTTTCAAAACTATAAGTTGGGTGAGAACTTACCAAACGAAGGCTTCAAAACGCTCGCAAAGACCGGCCATTTGGCGGTGTTTCTTGGCCAGTGGCGACATCATCTGGGGGTGACCGGTGATAAAAGTGGGGTTGATGCAAGTGTTCTCGATGAACTCGCCAACCAGCTTGTCGAGCATGCGGGCATTGGTCTGAGGGGCCGAGCACTCCACGTTCATCTTCTTCAGAATGCGCTTGAGGAATTCGTTGGTCTCCGTGGTGTGGAGCTGGTCACCAGCAGGGAACTTCTCGCCACATGCCTCCTCCAAAGCAGGCATCATTTCCACTCGCCGCCAGGGCGCCTTCCAGTTCACGTTGTAGATTTCGCCAGACTGAGTGTGGAATACTGTCTCATAACCACCAGTAACGTGCTTGACCAGACCGGAGACGAGGTCCTCGGTCAATTCCATCAAGTCGTACACATCTGCGTAAGCTTGGTAGAACTCGCAGGTGGTGAACTCGGGGTTGTGAGTAAGGTCAATTCCCTCATTGCGAAATTGTTTCCCAATTTCGAATCTACCCCGGAATTAGCATGGGAGCCTTGAAATTAGCATGGGGGAGCTCCAGGGGGGTAGGGGAGCTCCAGGGGGATGGGGGGGCCTCGAGAGGGATGGGGACCTCGAGGGGGCATGGATGGTGCTTGGGGAGTTGGCTTACAGACGATCGATGCCTCCAACAACAAGCATTTTGAGGTAGAGCTCGGGGGCGACACGCATGAACAGTTTCATGTCGAGATCATTATGGTGGGTTACGAAGGGCTTGGCTGTAGCACCACCAGCAATAGCGTTCATCATAGGAGTCTCAACCTCAATGAAATCACGGCTTTCAAAGTAATTGCGAATGTAGGAAACAATCTTGGATCGAGTACGAATGATCTCACGTGACCTGTCGTTCATGATGATATCCAGATAGCGCTGGCGGAAACGCTGCTCTTTGTCCTGGAAGCCGTAGTGCTCCGAAGGAATGGCGTGCAGGCAAGGGGCCAAGAGAATAACCTCAGTGGCGAAGATAGAAAGTTCACCATCGTCACGGTTCTTAGGGTTGGTCCGACCAGGGAAACCAACGATGCCCACAATATCACCTCTGCGAAGATGCTCGTGCTGCTCTTCAAAGGGCTTTCCGGTCGAGAACTGTGCTTGGCACATTACCTGGACCTTGACACCATCTGAGCGGATATCGTAGAAGTTCAGCTTGTTACCGGAGGTACGCTTGGTATAGATACGGCCAGCAACGCGAACAGTAACATCGGGCTTCTGTTCGCCCTTCTGGAGACCGTCATAGGTCTTAACGAACTTGCGGAGATCAGTGTCGACGTGGAATTTGTGTGGGTAGGGATCGGGCTGCTTGGTTTCGCGCAGCTTGTTGATTTTCTTGCTCCGAATCTCGAAGTATTGCTGAAGCGACACATTAATTAGTTTTACAGGCGCTAGAAATCAATACAGGAGCAAGGCCACTAACGTTAGGAGTCAAGTTGGCCTCATCATCCTCGGCGGATGATTTCTTCTCAGCCTTGGCCTTGGGGGGAGCAGCGGCCTCCTTCTCCTTCTTCTTGGCGTCCTTCTCACGCTGCTTCTGACGTCTCTTCAATTCAGTCTTGGAGACTTTCTCGCCGGTGACATCGTCGAGCAGAAGGTTGGCAATGGAGGCCGCAGCCTCTTGAACAGGGTTGGAATCCGCCATAATGTGTGGTTACAGAGAACAAAAAGTGGGATGGTGGGATGGTGGGATGAGGGACTTGAATTTTTGGGCGGGATCGGCATGGCATGTGATTGGTCCATTGCCTAACTCTCCATGCACGCGGGGGTCTTCCAACTTTCATGACTCATTCTTGAATTGACCCGACTCATTCCTGAATGGCACTGAGATATCTGTATAAATTATTTTTATTTGAAAATTATGTTCTACTGCTCGGACTGCACTTCCCGTCTCCCATTGTCGAGCACAGTTGGCGGATACTCAATTGGGATGTAGGGTTTAGGGCACGGGGATATCTATATCGGTCTGCTTTCCCCAGAATTGCAACCCCCTCCAACCCTCTCCAATAGCATTATATGCGAGCCTAGAAGCCAGTTCAGATGACCATATTCAATTCCCCATAGGCCTTTCAACACCGACATAGTAAGGATAGCCTGGCCACAGCCCTGGGTACTCGTTAGAGCCTTGTTGCTGGGTAGGCGATACCACTGTCCACTATCGAATCGCCATCAGCAGTACGGGCCTGCTTGATGGTGGTCTACTCCTTGTAATTGCTGTTTATATTTAACTGGACGAGGTGTTGATAGATTATCCGCCGTCAGAAAGTTGTTAGTTTGATTTGTTAGGGCATCAGTTCTAAATTTGGGTTAGCGTGGTTTACCCAACATCCAGGCGTTAGGTACATAGTACGCTTCACCATGGAGTAAAATGCCCTGGTACAACTAGTTGAAAGTCTTAGTTGGTTCAGAGTGGTCTCCTTGAATTGCCGGGTACCCCGGTACCACCAGAGCAGCACAGGAGACTCGCTATTTGTTGGAAATACATGGGACGGAAACATCCAATTGATAGGTAATGAGAAAAAGTGAATGACTGATAACTGGTTTATTGTGGAGCTTTAGACCAAGTCCAATGAAGTAGGAAAAGAGAATGAATGCTGCACCGTAAAGCGGAGTTGAAAACTAAACAAAAAGACAGCATGAAATGCATGGTATTGATGAACATAGATGGCTACTATGGCCAGAGTTTTACAGAGTTACTAGTCACTTTTGCCCAGGGGATGTGCCGACTCTTACATACTGACCTAAGTGCCCGAATGTCGCACCCATGTATACTTAGTGGCCTGTGGGGACCTTTTACAGAAGAGTTAGGTGACAATTATCATGACTTTCTATGAGGGCTAGCTCAACAATCAGGCAACCAACTTATCATGTTGATTCCTATTGAAGAAGATAGTAGTTTATATTTCCTAGTAATTATGGCAAAGTATCTTGAAGAGACTTGGGCCGGTTTTGGCTTGAGTAAATTTGGAAAAAAATAGGATGCTTGTAAGCCAATATCTGTCCCTAGGTCGCTATCAAATTCTGAATTATGGCCTTTGAAGTCGTTATGCTACAGATAGCTTAAAGCTAGACTCACTTGTATTGAGGGAGTGTACTGCCTTGTGCATTTTCGGTCTACACTTGTCGTAACCCCTGCTCTATTATCCTATGCATTCGTTACCTGGCGACTGAAGATGCTACTTCGTGTCAGATCGGTCACTCGGATCTTTATAAATTCAAATTGTAAGACTCTAGAGCGGGGAGAGGAGTGATCTGGGCCTACAGAACAAAGGTCATTCTAATAAGTAGCACATTATAGCCATAGTGTAGAGTCAACTATCTCCCATCTCTTCTTTTACCAGTCGTGTAGGCGAGAACCTCTTGCGTCCTTTCTTCTTACTGTCATTTGTCATTCTCTAGCTATCCCGAGTATTTTGCTTGCTTTTCTGTTCTACTATCCTTCACTCCCTTGCCTACCCTTGTTCTTCATCATCTTCCCTCTTTCCCCCATATCCCCGATCTCGATCTCCCCCTTCTCTTCCTCTCTGCCGACGCCAGTTTATTTCTGCCTGCAACTTTTCCCTCTTGGCTATCTCTTTCGCCCCTGATACGCCTCATCACCTTCGGTGGCTTTCACTTTTTCGGCCAACTTGGTCTTGATAATCACGCCTGTCTCTAGTCTAAGTTCATCTTCGTATCCTCTGGTTTTCCTATCTGTGCCTCTTGGTATGTCTCACTTTGCCTTGTGCTACTGCCAGTGACTTTGGTCACCCCTCCCTGTCTCCTGTCTTCCCGATCTCATGGCTGACAATCACTCCTCTAGACCTGATCCTCCACGATGTCAGGTGTGTACGACCGAGTTCCGAAGTCGGAACCCAGCCCAGCGATTTGTGAGTCCGGTCTCTCTTAGCAAAGCTAGTCTTCTCGCTAACTAGTCACTTCCTTCCTCCAGCTGGCTTAGGTGTTCCAATGGCCGTGTCTCATGGCCTACCTGACATCCCTTCAGCCCACCCAATTTCCGGTTCTTCTCTCGATCACTTGACTATGGACATGAAGAACCTTGTGAAAAAGATCCAAGATCTCAGTCACTTGGGGATTGAGGACAGCAAGATTATGCTCCCAAAGATATGTGTCGTCGGCGACCAGAGCACCGGGAAAAGCTCCCTTATCGAGGGTATTTCCGAGATCAAGGTGCCTAGATCCGAAGGGACCTGCACTCGATGCCCTCTCGAGATCAACCTTTCTGAAAGCGACGAAAACTGGAAATGCGTGATCCATTTATCACGCCGCTACATCTTCGATCCGTCGAAGCGGATGAAAATGCCCAAGAAGTCAGAGCCGCTAGGACCATGGATTGCCCTTGGCGGGCAAGATGATGAGCATTTCATCACCTTGGACAATAAACAGGAAGTGAAAGGGGCTATTTTGTGTGCCCAACTCGCTATCTTGAACCCCAGCACAGATCCGCAGGATTTTGTTCCCGGTTCTACCGACATGGCACAGACACCTCAGGTTAAGTTTTCTCCGAATGCCGTGCGCCTGGATATCTCCGGTTCTGGTCTTCCCAACCTGTCCTTCTACGATCTGCCTGGAGTGATTAGCCAGACAGAACAAGATAATGAACGTTATCTTGTGAACCTGGTGGAAAATCTTGTCAAAGATTATATTTCTCAGGAGCATTGCATTGTACTTCTCACACTGCCCATGACAGACGATGCGACAAATTCCAGTGCTGCTCGTCTCGTCCGGGACATCAAGGGCGCAAAAGAACGTACCCTTGGGGTATTGACCAAGCCGGATCGTCGGCCCTCTGACGAGGCATTTGGCCAGTGGCATGAAATATTGGATGGAACCAAGTTCAAGCTTGGTCACGGTTACTATGTCATTCGTAACAACCCCGATCCCCTGGTCAGCCACGCCCAGGCTAGAAAGGAGGAAGAGATGTTCTTCGGTTCTTCACTGTGGACACGGGATCTCGCCGCATTCGAAGACAGATTTGGCACCAGGCAACTGCAAACGGCATTGTCTGACCTTTTGATGCGTCAGATCTTAGGATCTTTGCCATCGATCATTGCCCAGATTGATGAAAAGTCAAAAGCCATTGATGAAGAACTCCAGACGTTGCCTAATCCCCCTACTGAGGATGTGCAGCGGATACTTTGGGGCAAAACCTCGGATCTTGAACGGAAGATTCATGAGCTGTTTGATGGGACCCCCAGCATCGAGCATGGTTCTTCCCAGCGAAAGCCACTGCAAGAGCAGTGGAACAAGATTGTTATGGACCTCCAAACTGCACTTTCAAAGACACGCCCCATCTTGGACGTTGCTGCGCAAAAGGACCACGAGGACTTGGCGGAAGTCGTTGATTCCGACTGTGAGATGAAGATTGTGGGTGTCAATACGTCAACCCCAAAGAAAAGAAAGTCGCCTCCGAGCGCTAGCTCTACATCGGAGCCAGCAACTCCGAGAAGGACTGTGTACAGCACCTCCCACTTCGAACGATCGAAGTCTACCCGAATCAGTCTGCAACAGCTCACAGAGCTTAAGATTCGCTCGAACACAGTTGGTGTGCCAAACCAGCTTGATCCACGAGCGATTGAAAATTTGAATAAAAGAAGTGTTGAACATTGGGGGAAGCTCATGGAAATTTTCCTGAAGGCTACGCATAGCCTTGTCCACGGCATGTTGCGTGAAGCTCTCGAGGAAGAGTTTGCGCAATATCACCAGACCGGCTTGTATCAGGAGCTCAGTAGAATCTTGAAGGAGTTCATGAGCAAGCTCCGCCATGCTCATCTGGAAATTGCCAAGGACTATTGCAAGTCCGAGCGCGAGATACCGTTCACAATGGCCCAGGGTCAACATCAAGTTCTTATGCAACAGGCTTCGAAATCTTTGAGAGATCGTCGATTCAATGCTCGTGCCAGTTGCTGGCTAAAGATTCGTGGCAACGATATGAGTGATGAAAAGATTTCCGACAAGATCAAGAAGATCCACCCAGAGCAACTTGGTCCTGATAGATACTCTCAAGAAATTGAGATGATGGCTGTAGGTGCTTTGAGAGAGATTTCCTGACATTTACTAATTGCAGTTATAGAGCTCGCTGGCATACTACGATATCGCATCTTCTCGTTTCTTAGATGTCTTGTGCCAGTCCACTCACATGAAGTTGTTCCGGGCTTGCCGTGCAAGTCTTGTTAATACCCTTCGTGACGACCTAGAAATTTTCGGGGATAACGGTGAGTAACTCATGTGTCGAGTATGAGGTTGGGAAATGTTGCTAATAGGTAACTTAGGGCGTGCACGCTGCCTTGACCTCATGACAGAAGACCCGGAGCGCCAGCATCGCCGTGCTCAGTTACTGAAAGAGCGTGAAAAGTTTTCGAAAGCTCAAGAATGGTTAGACTCTGTCCGAGATTCGGACGTCGAGATGGAAGACTCGGATCAAACCGCTCTTGCGGACATCAAAGAGGATTGGTGATTTCCAAAATTGCCGTCTCATGTGGTCTTCATGATTTTACTACTTACACTGGTGTTGATTGAGCCAAATGTGGGCTTGAAGTGGCTGTCCTCGGGGAGTCCTTGTGAACTTCAATAATGTTTCGAATGTGATGGAGAGATGAGGATATGGATCGAACGGGAAAATGTAAAAATGTAAAAACAAATGAATAACAGAGCAAAATACAAAAAAAGAAAATTGTTCAGATTAACATCATTTGACAGTGATCCATAAACATCAGCAGCAGGTGGTTCGATTCACATTTATCGTCAATATGGAAAGAGATATCGGATCTTTTGAGTAACACCAATTCTCTTAAAGCAAGAAACTGGGAAATATTGTTGCTCAAAGTATACTAGACAGCTTGCAAGCTATTTCTGTGTTCATTCGTCAACCTTCGAAAGAGACCGGACAACAATGATGTATTCCTCAACTATATCCAAGTATTTGCCGTACTCATTTCTTTCGATAAACATCTTCACTCCCGCATATTCTCAAGTCCTTCGATATCTTAACGCCATCTCTCGGACCCCACATAAATATGTTCTAGGCCTCGCACCCTAAAGAGGGTAAGATCTTGAAGACTTTTGACGATCATGCTTGCTAGGCCGAGATGATCACAGATAAGCTTGTACGTGCCTTTCCCAAATTTGATATTCAACATTTCGGCGATCGAAGATGGTGAGACTTTGAGGGATGTGTATGGAGATAAAATATTTGTCTCGCAATAATCGAGTTTAGTAGGATTTGGAGTTATTAGCAGTCTTGCCTAATTTCATATTGGAAGTACTCCTTGGTCGTCGATGCTTCCTGGTTCTTGATGACCTATACTAAGCTGGTGAGAAGATGCGAGTAGTATACTACATACTCAAGTGTCTACACCACTGACAGTAAGATGTCACGAAACTTTTACTCGTCTGCGTGTTCCGGGCTACTAACTCGAGGGCATCGAAGTGGTAGGGTAGCACTGTCTTTAAAAGAGAAGCTTGTGTCCAAGTGTTTATTTGATAGGGCATGTAGGACCTTGTCAACATAATTCCTTGTTCTTTCTCGTGTAGAAGTTAGACGCTTATCGAATACATAGTATTCAGGCTACGAAAAACAAGGAATTGCCTCTGTGAGTCAAACAGCTCGTCGTTTCGGAGTCTCCAATTCTGTGTTTCATCCGCGGCACTATCTTTGTATACAAATCAGTTTAGCGTGGGTTATAAGATACTGCTGGTACGTGCGGACAGAACGAAGTGAGCTGAGGCGACCAGTTCATTTTGGCTAAATTTGTCTATTTAATATTTGGCCGACCACAAGCCATTCTCGACCATTCTCTCGGCAATAATCTTTTCAGTACCAAAGTCCACCCCACTCGCAGCAAGTAGGGCAGTAGAAGTTTAGTCTGGGAGAACGGCTCATCCCCCAAGTCTTTATCTGCCCGCTCTTGCCAGGTAAACTGTCCGGGCTTTCGTAGGTCGTTGTGCTTGTCGCGAAACACTAAGTTCGTGCTTTTACCAGTCTTCGCCTTCCTGGTTATGCTCACAAGGCGCGTCTTGTAGCAGTTTCCGCAGATTATGCGATCCCGCGTGAGACTGCTGTCCTGGGCGCGATCAAGTGACTTTTGGCGGAACATAGTCCAGATCTTTGCATATAGTATGTTGCATCTTCACATCTGATCTCAATGTCCTCCAGGTCGGCGGGCATAATGCCAAAACTCCCACAGTCTTGGTCATTGACATGACAGATGCCGCATATCCATTCCTTCAAGCTCGGATGCCAGTATGGTACAAATCTCCACTCTTTGTTGGAAAATAGCTTGGCATTCGGCTGCTTGAAGGAACGATGGCAATGCCAGCAATCGGTCCTGTCCCTTTCCTTTCTCCAAGGCTCATCCGAGTTTCTCTCTTCCCAACATGTCAAGCATATTTGGCTGTCTTCTAGGCAGGGAGGTTGGACCATCCGCAAACTGAACGTGTACAGTTTGCGTAGTTATTCTCCTTGGCTTCCTTGTCCATGTCCCTTTTATATTTCATGGCACAAACTGAGCACCAATCCCCCTCGGTATTTTGCCCGTTTGCGTCGTAAGCAGAGTGAAAGTGCCCTTTGGTATCTTTCGTCCCACGCTCTGCACATTGCTTTTCTCTCTTGCGAGTCGATCAGCTTGGTTTTTTCGACCAGTATCATGACTTGGTCGAGCAGGCGAACTTGCCATTTCGTATCCGCCTCTGCAAGATCGATCGCCCCTAATTGCTCTGGAAAAGTCCCAATCTGCCGGTAAGATGGCACAAGCCCGTGTTACCCCTGACGTATCATAGCAGCAGAGATACCTCAATTTCTTGCCACTAGGTAAATGTCGATCATCGCCTGGATCCTTGCTGTCAATTCGCTTGAACTGAACACAATGATCGACACAGCGCTCAGAAACACATTTTATGCTTGATCTCGCATAAAGCCCACAGCAGTAACAGGAGGTCTGACTGAAGGGGTATTTTGAACGTGTTCCCTCAAGGTGGGACGTCGGAGGCGTTTGTAAATGTATGCGCGGAGCAAGGAAGTAAAAGGCAGGTTGTGAGCCGGTCGTGACCCATTCGGGAGCAGTAGGTAGGTTCACTGGCGGGGTATGGGGTCGATATCCGAACTCGGTATTTGACCGGTCGATGGTTACCCCGTCGATTTTGATGAATGAAGCGGTCTACTACTTGGTGTAGTTGACCGTGTGGGGTGGTGTTGATGGAAGATGGACAGTTGATTGGTCAAGGTGGGGTGATGGCTGACGAATGAGGTATCGAGACAGGATCGCCAGCTCGGGTGGAGATCTCTGATTGGTGTAGGGACCTCGGCAGTGGGGTGGTGTGGATGCGACACCAAAGACTCGAGGCGTTGAAGATGCAGTTAAACAAGCTTCATCCGAGCAAGGTGCTCATAACCTGAGAGGAGATAGACCTGGAAGTACTGGATAGCAGAATCTGGAAGTGCATTGAAGATAGAGGAAACTTCTGAGAGGAACCATGATTAGATGACTGGTAGCAAACGGCATATATCATATGATCTCCGACAAAAAGGATAGGATGAGATGAAAGATTCTGTAGATAAAGGATAAGGTAAACGTAAGTTTGAAATGAAATAAATCTAAGGGCTAGGTAAGAGCAAAGTGAGACTCAAGTGAGAGAACATTAATCCATAGATAGTTCGTATCTGTAGACTTAGAGTGGTTATTTTCGGGAAGTGCCTATACACCTCAATAATGTTTCGAATGTGATGGGGTGATGAAGATATCGATGAAGTTGAAAAGAATATACACATAAATGAATAACAGAGCAGAAATATCAAAAACGACAATGTACATATTAAATATCAATTGGTATCTCTTTTTTGGGTGTCGTTTCCCATTCTTAGAATTGAAAGGACCGTCCTCCTTCAGGCAGTATTTGCATTTTTCTTCGTTGGTTCGTCTGACACATTGGATTTACATAGCCTTAACTTCTCTAATCTTCTCATTCAACACTTCCGCTGTCCATATATGTCCTTCACGAAGGACTGGCTCACGGCGGAGAGCTATTGTTGAAAGTACATGTGTAGTTGGAGTAGTTTGGTGCCGATTTGGTCAAGCAATCGATGATAATGTGAGGTGGAGGAGAGGAAAGAAGGGAGAAAAAGGAAGGGAGAAAAAGGAGAAAGAAAGTTGGATTAAAGCACTCACACATATTCATACGCCATTAGAAATCTGCTCAACAAAGGCGATCTGTCAATTAACTAACAGCTTTCCCAGAGACATAGAACACATATTTCCGTATCGTCGAGGAATGCACAGCCAGATAATGCGGAAAGGAGCCCCTATCTCTGAGAAGGCCACAACGTCTCACCCGTGTCTAGCGCCGTTGCAGGGACTTTCTGACAAACAACAGCCATGTATACCAACATCATCATTCTATGAGGTTGCATAGATGCATCAATCGTACAGTTAATATGTGTTTGCCATGTGGTTGTCACGGTCATCTTTGTATCACTGTTCTATTAGCCCCTCCCCCTCTTCCGTTATTATCTATATGGATCCTTTTCATTCCGTTGCATTGTGGCTTTCATCCCTTTGTATCTTTTTTTTATATCTTCATATAGAGAGCTTTATAGCAGTAGGTAGATCATCATCATCATTGATTTCTGCTGATCACTTTCTTGCTTCTTCATGAACGTGCATCACATTCCTCGGCCTTTCTTCGACGACTTCCGTATGTAACTGAGGAAACTGCGCGGTGCTCATCATGAGCTCGATAGAAGGGAAACCATTTAAAAGGGACCGACATATCTCATTCCCACTGCCCCATTCCAATACTGATAACCGAAAGTATTTTCATGCAAGGCCCAATGAAAGCCGTTGTTGGCAAAAACAAAACCATTTTCTATGTCCAGCCCGGTGCTTTGGTGCATCTGCGTTGACTGCTAGGGTGACGGGGCCATGGAAGAATGCCGGATAGGGAACATTGGATTGGTCTTGTTTTGATGAAGAAACGATTGATTGCGTCCTGAAATTTTGTTATGGTCGGCAATACGATGTCCCGTGGCAGTCGGCTATAAACAGGGGAGATGCAGAGCCAGAGATAATGTTGACTGAACTAGATGCTGAGGACGGTAAGATGACTGGATTTCCAAGGCTTAAGAGCCTAGCACTCAGCTGTCCGCTTACTTATTACTTCTTTTCACCTAGATACTGAGACTAGCCTCCCACCTGCCACCCGAAGCTACACGGGGGAGGCTATAGTACTACATGCGAAATTCTACTCGTTCGCCCACAAATATCTCGTTGATGAGCTATCAAGCTTTGCCGTGACTCAGATGAAGGCCTGTTTCGAGCCTTGTCTAGCAGAACACACCCCAAGCAACTAGTCTCTGTCTAGCGAAGGCGGTTCAGATTGTCTATGGGAGCACGTTCTCGTCGAATACTAACGTGGATGCTGCTCGCAAAGAGCTATGCGGTTTTGTTGCCACTTCCCATGAGAAATTCGCTCCTTTTTTCCCCAGTTCGAAGACGAAACTGGGCATTTTATGACTGAACTAGCTTGCGAACTCTCAACTCGGCTTACTATCCTTCAGTCCTCCAAGGCTGATATGGAAATGGCACGTTGACCGAGCAATAATTACCATGCTGGCGACAAAACAGCGGTATTATTTCTTTGGTGGAGCCTTGTCTTGTTGGAGGCTCCTTTCTTTCTCTCGCCTCGGTAACAATTGGTATGCGCAAGATCTTTTTACTGCGGATCACGGGATTGGGGGCTCGCGATCACAGCTGCTTGATAAATTTCGTTTGGTTTGCATCCGTCTTGATTGATTGATACTACCTAATTAGGTAACTAGTCAATACGTACCTGCTTAGACTTTAAACAAATGAATTTCCAGTTGAATTACTTTGCTGGGTTTATTTGCTTATCCATAGAGAAATAAAATAAATTTCAGCGTAGAACGTAAACCAATCACCTATGCTGTCTTTCAGTAAGTATTATTAATACAATATATATCCATGGATGTAATTGGGGAAACCAAGGCCTAACTAGCCAGATGCCTCAGTACGTAGTGGAATATGAGAAAGGATTAGATTATTAAAGAAACTAGAAGCTGACGCTACAAAATCTAACAGTAATTCATGTCCCCCAGCTGCCTCCTAGGCGTGGTGATACTTTCTACATTTTGGTTCAACGTTGCCCTTGCGAATTTGTACACGGAGGTATGGATGGCTACATATAGTATGAAACTGAGAGGTGCTCTGATATACCTGGTAGGAAAGGTCCTAACCTATCGGTTGCTATCCGATGAGACTTGATAATATGTCGAATCCCAAGAAAGGGAGTTCAAAGAAGAGTAAACAGCAGGGGTATATAAAAACGAGATGTAAGAAGCGAGCTACGGATACGTCTGCCAACTTCAGAACGCAATCAGTGGCATTAGCTAACCACATGCCTCTCAACTGTTGGTCAACGCTTTTGAACCCCTCTATATTAGAACAACCGGCATCATAAAATTCGCTGTACTACTCATGTACCAATGCACCAATATGGCGGTCAATGGAGGTTCGTTGTTCATAAAGATTAGATTCTATGGCGGCTTGCATATCCAGGCCAGTCTAGGGCATGCAGCCCTCATTGATTCCGGGCTGTTTGCACTGGACCCGTTGGCATAGTGCATAATGCATGACTTGGTGGGTCCAATCTTACAAAGACATAGGCATATAGAGACTAAGATAATATCTGATACAACAAGTCTTTGCTTTAAGTATCTTGATCAATATCTCATACAGAAAGGTTGATTGAATGGAAGTAAAAGAACGGGTGGTGCTTACCTACACTTGTTTCACTATGATTGTTTTGCTTTCTCAATATTCTACATCAATTCTGTCTCTAAGTCTTTGTTTTTAAAGGATAGAATGGAGTAGTCATTCCAGTGCAAGATCTCTGACATTGAAACCTTGGAACCAGGGGGAACCTGGATCATGGCGGTCAACGGATATTCCCCCAGGTAACTATTCGGTGTTGGCCTGCATATACAGGGTAGTCCAGCGTATGTAGGTATGTAGCCCTATTTGATTTCGGGCTGTTTGCACAAGGGTGCCAGTATAAGGCATAATGCCTCACTAGGCTCTTCTTAACAGTTTCGACTATCCACCAATGGAAGAAAGAATGGCCCATATCTGATGTCTTATCCGTACTTCATAGAAGAATATCCTCTAAGTCTGTAATATGTCCTCTCTCTAGGTTCACCAATATACTTTCTCAAGAGTCCTGAATATCTAAAGATCTCCTTATTGCCCATTTTCATGGCCGTTGTGCCATTTACCCATTTCCTTTCAAAGTATGTGTGATGTACTTCACCCTGGGCAGCCATATATAGACTCTATCTTTTGGTGAATACGACTAACCCTATGATGTAAAGGGCTTCCCAACGGCACAACGACATCCAGCCAGCCTCAGGGTCCTTTAGAGGACAAAGACACTGAGATGACCGACTATTCCGAGATCCATCATGATGATTCCGAGTCCCTTGACTCCAAGGACCTCGCTGATTCCATTGACGCTGAAGATGAGACCGTCTTTGAAAACGACCCCGATGATGACGATGCAGAGTTGAATACCCTTGGTTGTGTCCCAGACTCTGAGGATCATGTTGAGTCGGAATTGGAAGTTGAGTACGACGAAGGTGATGACGACGAAGAAGACGACGAAGATGTTGATGACGGCAACAAGCTCAATATTTCTCGACCGACAATTGGTGGACCATTTTCCCCAACCAACCCCCCTCCAACCTTGACGAGTCTGAGGATGCCTGCCTTGAGAGGTGCGACAGAAGAGTGGGAAATATAACGGAATTCCTGAAGATGAAGACAGATGACACCGACTGGGAAGAGACGATGTCACCAGAAACGTGGGTCTATCGTGGGTTCAAGCAGTCGATAGGGAGATCTTCAGCGGAAAAGATTATCCAAATCTTCAAAGAGGTCATCCCCGCGTCAACAAGAGCAATCCTTGTGCGTTCTACTCTCACGCATGAGGATATAATTGCTCTACCAAACGTTGATCACTCGTTGACTCGTCCGGGGATCTATTTGATCTGCTTGGCACAATCCAATGACCAGCAGCCTCAGGTGCCCGATGAAGATTTGATCGACTCCACCACTGATCAGCATCCTCGAGTGCCTGATGAAGATTCGACCGACTCCGCCACTGATCAGCAGGGTGAGGTTCCCAGTGGGCTTTATACGGGATCCAGCATAAAAAATGTTTCTGGTCGCTGTGTCGACCATAGTGCCAAGTTCAAGCAAATTGCCAGGACAATTTTACGCGATGATCGACTTTTACCTAATGGCAACATAGCAATGTATCTCTACTGCTATGCCAAGAAGTACGGGCTTGTACCGTCTTACCGGCAAATTGCGATTTTTCCGGAGCAGTTGGAGGGAATCGACTTTCCACATGCGGATACGAGATGGCTCGTTCGCCTGCTTGAGCAAGTGGTGACACTTCTACTGGATACATATGCACCCAGTCAAACCAGTCAAGCCAGGCGACGTTACGGTTATACCGATGAGATGTACCTCGGCGCACTTGCACAGTGCGAGATACCCCCGAGCATGTTTCATCCTCTAAACCACGCTATGCCATTGAAACAAAAGTGTGGATGGACTGTTGGTGCGCGCGTATGTCAAAATTGTGGAAGTCAGAGCACTGCAGCCAATGGATGGTATTACGACCCGGCCGCTTGCGAAGTTGCTGTGTTGTACAATTGCTCAGCTTGTTACTGGTACCGATTCCGGAATGACACTAATCGGCCGCCGGACTTTTTTGTCGCTTTGAAGGGCCGCCCCAAAGCTGGTCCATGCTCGAATTGCGAAGCGACAGAGTCCACCCAATGGGAATGGCATCCAAGAGACAAGAACCGTGTTATCTGTTCAAAGTGCCGCTCTCACTGGACGAGGTATGCAATTGACCGGCCCCCAAAACAGAAAAGTACTGTTCAGACTGTGGTGCCACAGAAAGCAAAGGACATTTTCATCGCGCCTATGATTCAAATGGAAAGAAGAACAAGCAATACTGGTGTGCCACTTGTGCCATGCGTCGGCAGAGGAGACGCAACCGCGAAGCCCGGGAAAATAAACATGCAAACCTGACATGTTTAACTTGTGGAAATTCGAACCCCGCTGCATGGCAGACATTCCGAACCTGCGTGTCATGTTGGGAAAAGAGCAATGCAGGCAAGCGTTTTAGAAAGACAAGGGAAAGGAATAACTGCTGGCATTGCCATCATCCCTTCCAGAAGCAGCAGAACAATCCACTTTCCAAAGAAGATTGGAGAGATGTACGGAAATGGCATCCAACTCTCAAGGAGTGGATCTGTAGGGACTGTTCTTATCATTGCGAAAATCAAGGATCTTTTGGGATTCGACCCAGCGAGCTCGAGGCGTTTGAAATTCGGTGCGAAGATTGTCATACCCTCTACGCAAAGAGGTGGACTACTCTCGGTCAGACATACCTCGATCGCACCCAGGACAGCAGTCTCACCTGTGATCGCATCATCTGTGGAAACTGCTACAGCTTGCGAAACAGCAGCTCGCTCAAGCATAAGAGGAAATCCAAGGGGAAAGGTAAAGGGAAAGGTAAAGGGAAAGGCAAGGGGAGAGGCAAGGGTAAAGCTAAGAGGAAAGCTAAGACTGGCCCAAAGAAGTTGGTCTTGAAGAATAAGTATGACGACACACGAATGGAGGGTTTGGAGACATGGCAAGAGCAGAAAGGCAAAAAAGTGCAGCAAAACAGGCCGTTCCCCCAAACTAAACTTCTCGTTTCCTACTTGCTGCGAGTACACCTGAGGGACTTCAGAGCCGATGGAATTATTGCTGAGAAGGTGGCGAAAGACAATTCGGAGGAGTCGGCTGTTTAGGAACTTGTCTTCTGTGGACTTGCCTTCTGTGAATCTCTCGACTCTGTTGCTCGGTTTCCTGTTCCTGTTTCTGTTTATGTTTCTGTTCCTGTCCTTTTTTCCCTTGTGCTTCTTGCAGTTTTGATTTCTCTCTTTCGTCTCCTGATATGGTATTCGGCTTGTCTCCTTCAATACAATCAGTTCCTGCAGACCTCTCCATCCCCATTGGCGTAATTGACAAGTGAGCTTCGATCCTAAATTCAAGTGGTTGGCAACCCGAAAACCTTTGGTGTTTCCATATTTTGAACAGCCCGAAAGGTCCATTCAACCTCTTCTCTCAACATATTTACCCCCTTTTTGCACCTTCCAGTCAGTCAAAAGACGATTTTGCACGGGTTGTATCGGATTTCTGGGCTCCTGATATTGAAAAAGTGTTAGCTGCCAAGCTCCGAGATAAGGAGGAGTATGAAAGGTCGCTTTGCCAAAGGTTTGAGGATGCTGTTGTTAGTGACGAAGATCGGGATTCGGAGCAATAAGAGAAGTTTGGATGTTTCTAACTGACAACGATCATGTATCATAAATGGATAAACTGAAGGCAGAGTAGTAAAACCTTTGGAAGTTCGACTATTCCGGAGGAGTTTGATGGGCAGTTTAAGAACGTATATAATCTATGCTTAAATACAAATGAGGGTGAACATGTGACCTCCGTGAATGGTGTAGTCTACAAGAATGAATATTATCTGCTCTTGTCCTTGGCCCAAGCCCTAACTGTCCCCAGTAGGTTGTATAGGAACAGACCGCCAAGGGCACGTCATGGAAGGTTATCAGACCCCAGTACCCCACAACTGTCGAGATGTTCGGAGATTGTCAACAAATAGCCCTCGGCAAGGGTTAGATATATATAGTATATATCAAGACGAAACTGTTCAAGAATCAGATAAATAACATAAATCAGCGAAGCATTCAAAATGTGTGAGGCCGAAAGTAAAATGTTGTCAGGTGCCCCACCGAAAGCGTCGTCTTGGCGTTTTTTGGAGCTACGGGGTTTCTCTGGCCTTTTGGGTTCTTAGAATTCTAGTCTTTACATCTCCTTGCATACCGTTATGCTTCATATACCAATGCGTGAAAATCACAATGCTCAGGCTTCCACCAAGGCCGTGATCTTGGTGAGTGATGGAATCATCGCGATAAACAATAACTGAACTGACACCTTGTCCACAGGTCGGAGGCCCCTCCAGAGGCACTCGGTTCCGCCCATTGTCACTCGATGTGCCGAAGGTATGCATATGCATCTCATTTGATCGCCCATGGGGCTCTGCGTTGGACAATAATTGACACCGCAATTCCTATAGCCCCTATTCGAAGTCGCCGGCCACCCCATCATCCACCACTGCCTGAAAGCGGTGGCGAAGGTCCCCGATGTACGCGAAGTGATTTTGGTCGGATACTACGATGAAAGCGTATTCCGGGATTTCATCAAGGATGCCTCAAAGGAATTCCCCCAGCTCCGCATCCTCTACCTGCGGGAGTACACAGCGTTGGGCACCGCAGGTGGGCTGTACCACTTCCGTGATGCGATCCTCAAGGGCAAGCCCGAGCGGCTGCTCGTGCTGAACGCCGATGTCTGCTGCTCATTCCCGCTGGGCGAGATGATGCGCTTATTCGAAGAGAAGGACGCCGAGGCTGTGATCCTAGGTACACGGGTGTCGAACGACACTGCGACGAACTTCGGATGCATCGTGTCCGATTCGCACACCAAGCGAGTGCTGCACTACGTCGAGAAGCCCGAGTCGCACATCTCCAACCTGATCAACTGCGGCGTCTACCTCTTCGCCACCGAGTGCATCTTCCCCGCCATCCGCAGCGCCATCAAGCGCCGCACCACCCGCCCCCGCTTCCTCTCGTACCCCTCCACCGACAACCTGGAATCCTCCTTCGTGGCCACCGGGGACGACGAGGACATCGAGAAGAGCGAGGTCCTCCGTCTGGAGCAAGACATCCTCTCTGATCTGGCCGATAGCAACCGCTTCTTCGTCCACGAAACTAAGGACTTCTGGCGCCAGATCAAGTCCGCCGGCTCTGCCGTGCCTGCCAACGCCTTGTACCTCCAAAAGGCATTCCAGGCCGAGTCTCCTGAACTCACTGCCCCCTCTGCCACCATCGTACCTCCGGTCTACATCCACCCCACTGCCTCCGTCGACCCCACCGCCAAGCTTGGACCTAACGTCTCGATCGGCCCGCGTGTCGTGGTTGGCGCCGGTGCCCGTATCAAGGACTCGATCGTCCTTGAGGACTCCGAGATCCGCCATGACGCCTGCGTCATGCACTCCATCATCGGCTGGAGCAGCCGTGTCGGTGCCTGGGCTCGCGTGGAGGGCACACCCATCCCCTTGGCCAGCCACTCTACCAGCATTGTCAAGCAGGGTATCAAGGTGCAGAGCATCACCATTCTTGGCAAGGAGTGTGGTGTTGGTGATGAGGTCCGCGTGCAGAACTGTGTGTGTCTGCCTTACAAGGAGCTCAAGCGGGTATGTATTATTTCTTATTTTCTTTTCTCAATGTGCCATTGACTAACGTTCCCTATAGGATGTTTCCAACGAGGTCATTATGTAAACTGAGTTTTGGTCATCTTTGGTCGAAAATTATCGCCCTGATCTTCTCGTTGATACACCTTCATTGTCGGGTTTGTCTCATCTCATCTTATCTTATGGTTGGATGGTTATTTGCTTCGTGAGCGCAGCCGATCTAAGGATCTTTTTGTTTTAATCTATCTAGAACGAATCCAAAATGAAAGAGTTGTTGGATTTCTCGCATTACTACCTGCTATACCTATGGACTTTACCCTCGTATAAATATCACATATCCCAGTAATTGATCCATCGAACGCCGTCATGCAGATTCCGTGTCATCAACCCAAAACACCCGAATATAAACCTTGAGATGCAACCCCAAATAGATATCGTAACATCCCGCTTGCTGCCATCGAAGCATAGAAAAGAAAGAAAGAAAGAACGTCCAAGTACTAAAAATACCAAAAGCCCACTCAGCGATACATAGCAGGATCATACCCAGTATTCTCAGCCGGCCTCTGATGTCCATCTTGATCATAAGAACTGAAGCGCACCCTAGGCGCACCACGGTGACTCATGCCAGGCGCAGTATCATAATAATTCTGTGCCTCACCAGTATCCGCATGCGCCGGACCATGGGCACCGGACATCGCAGGGGGCACGTTATCATAATCGTGCAAGGCGGGGGTGGACTCGTTGTGGCGGTCATCCATCTTGACGTCGAAAGCGCCCGAGTCATCGAGACCTGGGTGGGATCCCATGGCGTCGTAGGCGCCGAGACGGGTCTGGCGACGGCGCACGATCACGTCCAGCCAGACCGCTGCGATGTAGCTGACCAGGCCGATAACGTTGAATGTGAAGAGGGCTTTGTAGCTCCGGCACACGGCGATGCCGGTCGAATTGCCCCAGTAGGTGGTTGTGCAGGATGTTGTTATGGTGCTTGCCAAGCTCCAGCTCAGAAGGCCCAGGGATAGCGCCCAGAGGATTGTTAGGAGGATGTTGAGTGAGATGGAGAGTTTTGTTGATAGCCCGCAGCTGCAGTGGATTACTGATGTTAGGAAGATATTGAGGAGGGAGAGGCCTGCTGAGACGAAGAGCTGGGGTTTTTTGTTAGCATTGCTTGAGAGGAGAGGGTTTACTTCAATGTTTACTTACCACGAGGAATGAATATGGTAGTTTGTAGCCATCGGCGTGGAGGTGGTAGGTAAACACCGCCAAGATCACGCCCACCACGATTGAGGAGAGAGAGATCAGGAAGCGGATGAGATGAAATGGCAACGGCGGGTATGCCGAGGGTTTGACTGAGGGTGATCGCATGGCGAAATGTGAAGATGTGAAGATGAAAGAAAAGGAATCCGACACAGAAGCCCCTACCTAAGGCCAATACCTTCGCGATCGGCGCTCCACTTTGACACGTTTGGGCGTGCGTCATGGCGCTATTTTTATATTTTTATCGGCGCAGCTCGCATCTTCGTACAATTGTTTCAAATAAAAGAGTTGGATATTAAATAATGCAGATATTGCAAACCTAGAACGAATACCAAGATCAACTTCAATCTTCTTCTTCAATAGTTGAAATCCTCATAGACCACCGTTTTTCCCACCAGCCAATTTAGAACCATCCGCTTCAACGCAACACCTGCGCAGAGGTACCAAACATCTGCTAGTGCAAGGTCCAAGTCCTCAGCCTGCATCCGTCGTCGTATCATTTGAACCCCAGACGACTGAATGCCGTCCCACATCTGCCGATCGGCTCCATCGAGCTCCACATTGGTGATAAACAAAGTCGTTGAGAGGGGCAACTGTGGCCACCGCTGGAAAACATCATGCACCAGGCCCAGATCATTGATCGAGATTGACCAGAATAATCGCAGCTGGGAGATATCCAACTCTGGAAGCTGTGCGAGAAGGGGCGTGATGCCAATACCGCCCGCCACATAGGGGGCGATGGACTTTCCAGGCACATGGAAGCTTCCCCCGAATCCCTTGAGTGGTACTTCTAGGCCGGCTCGCTCATTTACGTGAGAGAGATATCTAGTAACGGGACCATGTCGTCGGACCGTGATCTCGAATTGATCAGCGGGTATATCGCGACCGGGGTACGAAGATACGGTGAAAGTTCGAACATAGTCATCGTTTAGGCTGGTTGGATCGTCATCTCGCATGTGGCTATAGCCCATATTCAGCTCATCTTCAAATGACAGTGTGACATACTGTCCCGCACTCCATGAAATTGGTTTGGGGCCGGAGATGCGGAACCGAAACCGTTGGATGGATGGTGTAATGTCTTCTTTTTTAATTAAAGTTGCCATTGTGTCTGAACCACTGTCTTCTTGGGTCCCAGTGACCTTTTGCTCATTGACGAGATATCGCACGCTAGGATTGTATGGAGAAGGTTCTCCGGCCTCACCACGAAAGCCCAACCCATTTTCAACAAAGATTGCAGCAGCAATGGTGACTCGCACGGCGAGATTCGATCTTGGTAGGACAGCAGCTGCGTCTTTCCCAGCTAATATCTCGGTCGATCCAGTGAAGTAAAGCACGTTGCCGCTGTCAAAATCGGGAACGACAAAACCGGCCAGCGGTGTTGTTTCTAGATTTCCCAGCGTTTGATAGAGTCTGTTCCCCGAGTACTCGGGATAAACAAGGACAGCACCGCTAGCATTGTTGGATTCAACACGCATAAATCCTGGCGGACCACCACGGGTGTTTGTATCCATGGTTGATGCGCCATGAGATGAGGATACAAACATAGTATCCGCACGAGAGAGCAGCTCAACTGCAGTAGGATTCAATTGTGGCGAGTCGGATATCAGCTTGTAATCAGGCTGTGCAGGTACGATATGCTTCTTGTTCATGTATTTGGGGCAGTTCCCAAGGCTCTCTTCAATGTGGACAACCATCTGTGCCTGTCCGGCATCACCGTCAGACAGGGAGCCCGTCACCATCCTGCCATACAGCTTCACTCTCCGACGGTTCTCCAAGTCGACTGCCAGCCCCGATACCATCTTTCCTATGTCTGCATCAGTTTGATTGCCGGTCAATAATGCCTGCACAACGGGGTCGTATTTGCTGTCCACCTGTGTCTGAAGCCCGATTAGCGATTCGGCAACTGGCGTTGCAAAGCCCGCTGTGCCGCCCCATATCGTTGACCATGGCCGGCCTTGGGAATCTAATGTGCCCAGGGCAAGCAGGGGGGATTGTTCAACAAGATATGCAGCTCTCGAGCTCAGGTACGGGGCAGTCGGGTTGTCGCCGTGAGGGACTCGAAGCAAGTGGTGTAATCTCTCCTCGCCCTCGTGCCAGGACACAGTATTTGTTAAAAGTGAAGTCATCGGGTAAGGAAAATGGAGAAATTGAGAAGCTATGAGATTTCCCATGTTGGAAGCAAAAGAGTGTAGGTACCTGGGCAAGGGTGGGGATTATTCATCGCGTCATCCTGCCTGGGTCCAGGCGTTGGGATGACAGGGCTACCTAGTATGTACCTAGCTAGGTATACCTGGAAGCTTCACGAACATTTTGCATATAATATGACTCCATAACTATCTAGAATGAATCAGTTTCCTTTTTAATAATGAGATTGTCCTTCGAATGCGCAGCAATGTGGTGTTCTGAATGCATGTAGCCTTTTAGTATGGCATAGTCCATGAATATATATAGCAATATCAGTCTCCCAAATCAAGCTCCCAAATCTCCTAAAGTATTAGAGCTATGTCACCATTTCCCTCACAATTACTAAATGTGCGTTATTCGTTAACATCTCCCTTCCATGAGCTTGTATAATGACGAACCAATCAGAACTGCCGCGCCGCGTTATCGACTCTCTGCCTTCGGGGAACTTCGTTTATAAAGAACAACCTACGCCACCTGCACCCGATCTACATTTCTCTTTTACAGCTCAATCTTGTGCAACAAAAAGCAAACAATTTCAAAGGTGTCACACAATACATGGGCTCTCCCCGCCCATATTCCTCATAAAACAGCTCCTCCGAAAGCTTGAGAGTCCTCCATCCCCCACCATGTCGACCTACGAAAGTACGAATCCCCATTACTCAAATAAAACCAGAATCTCCAAAACTAATATCATTCCAGTCGAACACAATACCACCGACCCCTCAACGGCCCCGAACGTGCGCCGCCGCCGCCCCGACCTCTCCACCTTCTTCTCAGCCTTGTCCCAGATCACCCCAGCTCCCGACCACAGACCCCATGCAGTCCCCGTCCCAGGAGATGTGAGCGCAGCATTCTTCTCTCTCGCTGAGGCGTTAGATATGATGCGCCGCGAAGCCGATTCAGCGCCGCACCCCGACGCGCAGGAGGGCGCCGATAATGCCGACTCAGATACCGGTCGCGATTTGCTGACCACGATGATCCAGTCGCTGCTCTCGCAGGCAGATACACCACCGCGGGAGGTGGAGGGTGTTGACGAGGAATTCTGCGATAGTAAGAAGCACTCCCCTAGCTCGCCGTGTCCATTAACTTCCCCCGCAATCAGCGGGGTATTCCTTTGTCGTTTACATAGCTAACCGCGCCTGGATCTCTCTAGTGCTCGAACGCGTCCCAAAAGCATCCCTGAAACCCTCTGATACCTGCCCTATCTGCAACAACCCCTTCATGGAAGACGCCTACCCGCTCGTCGTCCAGCTGCCCTGCCACCCGACACACCGCTTCGATCTGGAATGTGTGCGGCCCTGGTTGCGGCTGCGCGGAACGTGTCCGCTTGACCGTGTGGACTTTGCGAAGCAGCAGAGAGACAAGGCGGAGGCGAAGAAGAAGCTTGTTGAAGAAGATGAGGAGGAGGAATGGGATGGCATGTATGGTTGAAGAGATATCAGACAAGAGACTGTGCATATTCGTGCGTTTTAAACTGTCCATTGTGATGGAGGTTACATGGCAGTATTGCCTATCTTAGCATGAGTGAATGACTGTTGCATCTATTGATCATGTACATTTCAATCAAATGGATATTGAAAGTAAGCTGACCGGCCGCCATATCTTAATCCTTGTGCCTCTTCGCCCTTTATCCATATTCTTACCGCTTCCTCGAATGCTGGTTTGATGTTCTTCTCCACGAATAGACATATACTATAGACTATCCGGTCTTTTTCTCTGTCTGTTTATGGCTATTAGGTATGATTATGTGGCTGGATCGCTTGTACAACCGCATGATACTCGAACAAGAAGAAACAAGCTATCAAACAGAGATAAATAATGTGAAAAGACGCGCAAAAAGATGCCAAGGAGGACAACAATGGTGTTTTTGGTGTATGATCTAGGCGTCTTACGTTCAGGACTGCATTGGCAACTACGTTTCGAGTCAATATCTCGAGGTCTTTGCGGAGCTGCACACCTCGATGGAATCCACGAGTCCTTTGTTGCCTCATTGGAATTCATCATCTAATTATCGAACCTAGCTCAAAGACCTTTGTCCTCTCTTTATCAATTTTTGGGGCAGTCTCATTCATGTCTTTGTCTATATTTTTGATCACCATCTTAACAAAGGGCATACAAGTTCATTGTTAATATGCAGTCCTCGTCGAGGATCTTGCCGCTACTCACATATAAATACCAAGTCCCCAAGTCCTGAAAAACATAATCTATCATTCCACATGACATCCTCTCTACAACTCATACTATCTTTCTCTATACTTCAACCGAGTCACAGACCGTGACTTCTCCTACGGAGTATCACATATTATCAGGGTATTTTCTTCTCCCATTCCTCCCTGTGCGACTATATCTACATACTCGCTGACTCCCCAGGTAACTATCACCACGTTTATATACCTCAACCACATTTGGCAATCGAGATACTTACCAGTGAGTATCCCAACCCATCCAACCACCCCAATGTCTCCCCCGCTGGAGACCCTCGCACTTGTTTTCTTTTTTCTTGTACTGGGACTGATCATGATGATAATCATGATTCTTGTCAAGGAGTGGACAGAGTACCAAGCTATGCAGTTTTGGCCGAAACTGCGTAGTACTCGCACTCTCGATCTGGAGTTGGGCCTTTATTTACTAAAGGACGTAAAGGAACTGACATGGCGCGTCGAGCAGATGGAAACTGATATTGGTCGCAAGTTCCAGCTTGCTGGATACTTGTCTGAATACCATGATCAACCCCCATCCCCTTAACCGCTTTATCTTGTCAGCATACCTTCCGATAACAGACGCAAGACACAGAGACCGAATATCTGGATGCCTCCTACGCGTAGGGATAGCGCATGAGATGTCGGCCCGAGTGGGTCACCCCAGTTCTCTACCCCATACTCCCATGTCTTTCGAGGCGGCTCACCTTGATGGAACTGGAGTGGGTAGGGTCATAATATGTGCCGGGCTAGCACTTCGGTGCAGTACCGGCGGCTAGTTAATATCCTTTCGGTGGAGCTAGGCGAGTTTGAATGTGCCTGTGGTAGATATATCTACGCCAACTGATATCTACCATAGGTGCTGTTATTGTTTATATTAGTTTTGGAGGCGTCTATGAAGACGTCGTGGAAAGGCGGCGGAGAGAAGGATTATAGGGGACTTTCGAGCAGTAACCGACTCAATATCTGTAGTCCTGGTAAAAAGGTCGGATAAAGATAGTTGCCGAGATAACCTGCTAGACACCAATTACAGTTAACGACTACCATGCTGGTCGATGGTAAAAATCAATTTGCTAAACTCGAAATGTATATCACCCCTAGTCGACGTAGTAATTCTGAATAATCTTGTAGACGGTAAGATCCTTGATCGTCTCCCTGTAGGCCAGGAAGATCTGCAGGCAGAAAGATCGGATGTTCAGGCATCAACACATGTAGACCCACCTTCTTCTTTTGGAAACATCCATTGTAATCTTAATAGCAACCACTATTCCCAGGTAGATATTGATACAAAGCATGGATCTTACAAGAAAAAAAAGAAATGTAATCATTCAAAAGTATCATTCAGAGGTTTTTCCGTCTACTCTATGTACAGTATGCGGTACAGAATTCATCACACGTAAGTTCAATGTTTCATAAAATTTCCTCAGCCCGAGCCTTCGACCGGATGGCCAACTTGCCTGCCTGGTTAATCATCGCTTCGTAGCCACTGCGCTCGAGTACGCCACCATCATTACTGACAACCTCACGAGCCTCGAGTTCCTCAACAAGGCGCTGGTTCTCACGGTTACCCTCGAGCAAGAACTTAAGGCACATCACAGCATGCTCCTTGATGTATGGGTTGTGAGCGTCGAAAGCGGTGCAGCAAAGAATTGCCTCGACACCGCCGTAACGACGGATCTGCTCTTGGACATCGGGACACTTCCAGACAAGCGAGGAGAGCACAAGCACGACCAGCTTCTTGAGATTGCGCCATTCGAACTCGGAGGGATCTTCCGTGATCGGAGGGGACTCGGGTCGAGAGTCGACGCTGTCGGCGCCAGTGTCGACAGGGTCTGAGTCGGTGGGATCGTAAGGACGTTCGACGGCAACAGGGGCCGGGGGACTGGCGTTGGGGACATCGCGTGCGTTTTCGTTTCGGGGAGGGGGAGGGGGCACGGAGCCAAAGGACAATTGGCTCAACTGGCCCTTGGGGATGCTTGCCTCCAACTCCTTGATCAATGTCACCAGGTCATAGACAATCTCCCATTTAACCAGCAGGTTCTTCCAGTCGTTGTTTTCGGTCAGCACGGCGAAGAACTCCAAAAACTGGTAAACACCTTCGTATACCCGTTCCATGTCCCATAGATTGAGCGGGAAGTCCTCCGAAAGAGCCCGGTCGGCGCGGATCTGGCCTTGGAGGTAGATCAGAGCACAAGTCTCGGGGATGATGTTGCCACGGAAGATGGTGAAGATGTATCGGACAGTGAGAATATCAACTCGGTTGAGTGAGCTCGGGTTGCGGGGGATGTTGGGCTGAGCAGAGCCCGTCACCGAAGCAGGGGAGTACTTGGCTCGGAAGATGTGGGTGAGGATCTTGATCACAACAGCTTGTGCCGGAGAGATTATATCCTTGGGCTGGCCGAAGTCGGAGTAGGCATGAGACATAAGGCCGTTCTTAAGTACGGCCTCCATGATCTGAACCATCATCTTGAAGTAGAGCTCGTCGTCAGGGAGATCCCATGCCGCAATGAAAATCAGTAGTTCACGCAGTAGGTTACGTCCTGTCTCCTGCGTGAGCAGGATGTGACAACGGAGCGCTTGCATGTTCCTAGATCCATTCCGTTCGCCGCCCTTGAGGCCAAAGCTGTCCACAATACCGGCTTGGACAATCATAGGCAAAGCTTCGATTTCTGCTGGTCCAAGGACTAGAGGGATATCTGTTAGAAGACCCCGCTGTTGATCGCCAGGACGGCCACGGTATTCATCCTCCTCATCTTCTTCGTCATCGGCTTCTCCATCGACGCCATCATCGTCCACATCATCCTCGCCATCTCCATCAACGCTTCCGTCAGCCATGTGGTCCAGGCTATGCGAATCATCATCCCCCACTGTGTGTGCATCGCCGTGGTCATAGTCGTGCTCTTCGTCGCCATCGATATGTGATGGCTCCTGGAGCCGAGCCATGAGTTCATCCTTGGCTTCCTGGAGGGTCTCAGCGGCAGATTGAGCTGACCGGGGCATACTGGTATCTTCGTCTGTAACAGGTCCATCCACAGCGCCAAAATCGTTGATCTCTGGAAGATCGGCCCAGCAAAGACGAGGGAAACCAGCCGTGAGACTGCGGTCAATAGTCAGGATGGTCTTCTTCTTGGTGACTTCGTGTTCCTCTTCTTCCTCGTCGTGTTCCCTATGATCCTCATGCTCCTGGTCTTCGTGGTCTTCGGTCTCCTCATGCTCTTCTTCGGGAAGCGCAGCCGGGAGCTCACGAGCTCGGTCCTGGAGATCAGACCAACCGTCAACCTTAGCCCCAAGTATCGCAGTCAAAGCAGCCCTGATATCCTTGACCTGGTCTGGGTCTCTGCCCATCTCCTGAATAGCGCTGAGGTCTCGCCCCAAAATCCTCTCCATGTGATCCTTAATGTTGGCCAGAAGTAGCATGGCAGCCTCTTCCTTGATAGTTGCCGGCTCCCGCGGGAACTTGGCGATAGTCTCCAATAGCAGATCCTCCGCAGTTTGGTCGTAAAGCGCACGAATCGGCGGGTTGATGACACGCTCTCCAACTTGTACAATGGGTGCCACTCCTTCTCGCGAGCTGGCATCGTCCAAAGGCTCCTTCGGCTTTATGATGTTCGTATCAGCGGTCGAATGGTAACCAAACAGATCCAACCAGAGCACCATCTTGCGATGCTCATTGTGCATAATGAAATTATGAAGGTACTGGAGGCACGTAATCAGAAGGCGCTTGTAGAGGTTGACGACTTTCTGCCATCGCTCCTCGTTGCGCGCATTTTGCTCGCCATCAAAGCCTCGAGCGGTGACCCGAACACAGGTGTCAATTAAAGCTAGAATCCTTTGGTCAAATCCTGTTTCCGCTGCGAGGTTCTGTGCCTTCTTGGTTGTGGCGAGGAGGTTGCGGGCGATTGTACACAGATCATTCAAACGCTCAATGTCTTTGACCAGCGAGAAATAATTGTATGCGATCAGATTAGCAGATGAGTGTTCGTAGCTTGCTGCAGGGCTTTTCCACGCGAAAGATTGGGACTCGAGGACAGGGATTGCTTTGGTGAGGACGTTCGTGAGACCTTGCCAGATATCCGGCGACATGCCGAGATTGTGACTAGCAGGGCGCAACGGATTAGTATACAAAGCATGCAAATGGTCAATTATATCATGATCTTACCGAACATCGCTCTCCTGGTGTGTCTTGTACAGGATCTGCTTCCCAGCGGCAAGCATGTGCTCCAAGCGTTTGTCATCGATCATGCCCCGAACTTCGTAGTGGCTCAGTGTCCCTGCAAGGATTACCTTAAGCATGAGCTCAGCTGGCGTGCATAATGGTTTTGAATCTGCCATCTTGCAAAGAATATCCCAGCTTTAACGCGTATTCCTTCAAAGGGTAAACAGCGCGGGGAGATCAAAGTGGGATGAGAGAATCAAAGATTCGGAGGTGTGGAGAGACAAATTTTCCGCCCGCACGAATGTTATCGTTATCGCTCATTCGGTCATTCTGAGCTCTCCGCCTCAAAGCATGCCCTTTGGTATACTCTTCGAACTCTATATGTGACTTTATATTCTACATACTACCTTCGATGTTCAATAATCTGACTCACATGGTTATATATTGCGAATGTTGTTTCCACTTTCATTGTCTCACTTTAAGTGTTGACGATTCCAAGATATGTATGTGTGATAGACAGCGTCTTTCACAAATATATTTTAGATATTTCTTTACATCAAACTTTCAACATAGATGTTATATACAACAAGGTTAAATACCGGATATCTCCTCATGTAGATCGACGGACAGATAGTCCCATCACGTCCCGAAGATTATACCAAAAGCCCATATCGTAGACGTTGTCGACATCTCTCATAGTGTGGAGTCGCTTCCATCGAGGGTCAGGAGGTACGTCTGATTCCGGACGACGAGCAATGCAATTAGAGTCAGAGGCTAATAAACATCCTTCAGTTGGAGGATCTTCATCAGTGACAAGGATTTGATCAGTATGCACAGGCCACAGTTGATCATGTAGATCCATAGGAAGGGGGCTGTCGAAGATGAGACTTCGTTTTGTCTTGAATACGATGCCGTCTTCCACATCATCTTTCCAGTCGGACCACTTGGCGCTCTCATTGGTTGTCACCCCAGCCCAGATGAGATACGTATGGTACGCCAGGAAAGATATTGCTAGCGGGGCAGTCATAAGCATCAGTAAAAATACTGCCCCAATCTTGGGATCAGCACCGATCACAATACCCCATGTGTTGATCCAGGCTGTCCAGCCTTTCATGGCCTCCTGTCTCTCCGGCGGAACCATTTGCTTCAGCATCTCAGAGAGTATGGAATGACCAAGGTAGGAGCCGTAAATCAACATGACAGAAAGAGAGACCAAGAGCGAGATGAAGTACACGCAGTTATTGGCCCCGACGCAGTTCATCAGCCATACACAGTGGTGGTCATGTCTAGAAACACAGGCCTGACAGAAGCTGCAATGCTTGCTGCGCGCTGGCTTGAGGAACTTGCAGGTGCTACATTTATGCCCCGGATGAAAAAGGACTCGGTCGTACGGATAGCGTCTCATCTCTTCCTCATGGTTCTCTGCTGTGATAAATGACTTGGTCACAACACACTTGTAAAGCAGGAAATATGGCAAGCTGATAGCTGCGGGTACCCAGAGTCGATGAATGCTCGAAAGCCGAGGCCACGCGGCAGGGACAAAGATGCCTTCTCCAATGACCAGCAAGGAGGTAAAGAAGATCTAGTATGCATGGTAAGTATCCGTACAAGTAATAATAAATCCCCAGACTAACCAGGACAAGCGGGTGGTTCTCCTTCAGTACATAGCTGCCAGATCGATTCCAGCACCGTACTACCCTCCCGCCGAACAAGCGATTGTCGACAATGGCAATTCCATTCGGAAAGTACACCCACAGTGCCCGATGGAGCCAGGCGACCGGAGTTTTCCTTGAGAAGTCAGCGCAGAGCTTCAAATGTTTGTAAATTGGCAAATTGCTCACCGGAAAGCTGGCAGCCTGCCAAATAGCGCGATAAAGGTGAACGCCGAGACCGCCAGTATCACCAGACCAACGGTTCTGAGGGCCCCCATTCTGAAGCTTAAGTTCTCTCAGTAAGTTCAAAGGATATACTGTTTGCTCTGCATCCTCCGGCGGTATTATTCACGGTTCCTGCATTCCTTGACTCGTGATCGGTCAACACGTTCTCATCTCAAGCCGTCGGTTTTGTGTACGCCACGTGACCGCGTTTTCAGTCTCGGCATGAACCAACGATTTCATCTATGACCCTTGTCGATTGAGACTGCCGGAATCCCATATGATCGAACATAAGAACTGAAATCGAGTGAGCGAGACAACGCCTATCTTCCACCATAGCCCGCTGTTGGATGGGAAAAAGCCCCTTGCGACACGTCAACACGTGATACCGCGTCGCAGACAAAGCTGGCCTACCTTAGGGTGTGAAAGCTCGAAGGGAAGTTTTTAAGCTTGGTTTCCGAAGAGCTGAAATGGCGACTTTTACAAATGACTCGTCTCGGGCTGAGAATTCGACAATGAATCTGTTTCAAGGCGCGCGATTCTGGCTATCTCTAACTGTTCCACAAAGGCCGAGATTTAAAGAATTAATCAAGGTATTTCGGGGATGCCTTCTCTTATTTGGAGCTTTCAGATGTTAATGAATATCTAGCAATATGGTGGCACCGTTGTGCTGATGGAGAAGGATGCCGATGTGAAGCTGGTGGATCACACGAGGAAAGACCTGCCTAAGGACACGTACGGAACCCAGAACTCTTTACTGGCTCAAGATCAGTGTACTAATTTAAAATTAGCTTCTCCTATCAATATGTAGAGCGTTCTATCAACAAGGGACGACTCGAAGATCTAGAAGCCTACCGAGTTGGGCCATCTGCACCTCGTCCAATGGGCGCATCCAACATTCCCACTAAAAGCACAAGATCGTTCTTTACCTTGAAAGAGGATCAGATCCTGTTTGACTGGGTCGAACACTTTGGACAAGAGCCAGGGGCCCCTGTCCAAGGCAATAAAATTTACCAGGATTTAAGTGAACTGGTATGGTGCTCTCCTGTTTCTGTCAAGTCCACAGGACACATACATATGGAACCTGATACTAACTGGTAGAACACAGTTTCCTGGTCACCCATGGCAGTCCTGGCGTAGTAGATATATGAAGCACCTGCGTGGCAAGGGCCGTCCAGGGGGCGGCACCTCATTATCATATGACGACCTTTTAGAGTCTGCACCACCCCAAGGAGAACGCCCAAAGACCTTACCCGCCCGAACTTCCTCAAAAGATTCCCCAGCAAAATCTAGCTCAAGGGCCCCCCGGCTGGCACCACCTGCTCCGGCGCAAGCAAGTACAGCAAACAGCCCAAAACGAAAACGAGACCCGGTCCCTGAACCGTCGAATCAACGGCGGAGGGATGTTTCCCCTATGAAAAGAAGAGCAATCGAAGCTTCTGCAACTGCGGGCCCTCCCTCACGCCGTCCCCGTCCCGATAGCCGGGGACCCCAGCCAGAGTCATCAAACGTGGCAGCCACACCACCCTTTACTGCACGCCCAGAAAGAGGCTCTCCCGGTGTCTCGTCGTCAGATACAGGACCGCTTCAAGGCCTTGGGATTCCAGATCTCTTCCCAGTCCCGAACCCTTCCACACAAACTCCTCGCCGTGTCACTCGGGAGACTTCACAACGACCAACAAATATAACAGAACCGACAGCGCCGCCGGCCCCACCACGACCATTGGGGGACAATGCCTTCGCACAGTCTGGCCGATTCAAGAAACAAACACTGAATCCCAGACCACCAATCAACGATATCTTCGAAGACCCAGTGGACCCCATTTTCCTAGAACTCCCATTCTTGCCATCAAGCCCAGCATCCGAGGTGGCTGATGATGACATCTCAGATGCCCCCTCCGTCGATACTTGGATTGATCAACGCCTGGCTCTAGGTGCCAAAGAATCCCACGTGTTCGATGCTCTGCGATGTACAAGCATGGTCCCAGAGATGGCAGATAAGGTTCTCAAATATCTCACCGCTGGGAAGGGTATTCCCGATGATATGCCCGGGGTCTGGACAGCCGAGGACGATAGTTGTTTACAAGCGGGTGAATATTCGCGTGTGCAGCGAGCGTTGACGAAACACGGCGAAGAAGCGTACAAGGATAGATGGGAATATTTCAGCATGGCCCGGCAGACAGGACTCATTGAATGATACCCCATGGGATATGAAATTTGAGAAAGCACACGGAGGACGGCTACAATGGACGAGTTGCAATTGTGAAGCAAATGAACATTAGCATGCAGCTAGAAACGAAATACTCTCCCATGACACCGGTATTGACCCGCCCAGAACGCAAGGAGGAAATTGGAGCTCAAAACTAAACATCAATGTAAGGGCAGCAGTGCCATATTCAGAACGCGTTGGTCGCAGTGGTCAGGGAGCATTGTAGCGATGGCCACTCGCTATTGCACATCCGAGATTGAAGAAATGGCCTAGAAATATCACTTGTGTACCATTTTCGACTTGGTGATATATCGGCTTGTCGGTGAAAAGGGGAGATTTAATTATCCTTGAAGACACTGCGAGAGATGTTAGCAACGCATTTCGAGCTTTTACTAGGAGGCCTTGACTCACAGGTGCGATTCGTAAAACTTGAGCATCTAGTTTGGCGGTTAGTATTCTTGTCGCTCTTTTTTTGGCATGGTGGAGGACATACTTTCAGAGGACACTTTTCATAGCAGACCTGGACAGACAGTTTCGCCTTGCGTCCATTGTTGAACTCGAGCCAGGCCATGAGACCTGCGTCGCCCTCCCGGACAATTGTGTCCACCTCTTTCACATCGTTATCCCAGTTCTTCCCCTTTGGAAGCCATTGAATGCCATTTTCTTCGGATGAGGGGGAATCTTGCTTGGTCGTCTGCTTGGGCGCTGACTTTCGGCGCTGTCTCTTGGCTTCGCTCGCTGCGGGGTCCGGTACAGCCTTAGCAAGCTTTGAATCACCCATAGATTTACGCTTGCGACCTGGCTTTCCTGCCGCGGGCTTCTCTTCGTCCTTCTTCGGGCGACCACCGATCTTCTTGTAGTAAGCTGTGACAACGTCTCGGGCTCCCTCCCTATGGTGTCTGTTAATAAATGCGCGTAGCAGATGTCGAAGCTTAACGAGTGCATAGACGTACATGAGACCATCCTCCTCTTCCCATGTGTGGTCTTCGATCTTGTCGTAACCCTTCCATTTCACGAAGAGCTTAAGGGTTCCCTATATTTGATTAGCTTCTCGGCACATTGAGGCTGAGCGTTGTGAACATACATCATCAAGCCACGCGTGATCACGAATACTCTCGACAACATAGCTGCATTCAGTTAGAAACACACATCCATCAATCGGCCGGAATGCGCAACTAACAGTCCCTCTTCCTCGTCATCCTCCTCCTCTTCGTCTCCTTCGTCTTCCGGGGAGTCCTGGTCATCTTTGCCATTTGCCTCAGGCGCATTTCTGAAAGGAATATCGCCGGATTCCTCATCGGACATATCTTCAACGGGAGCTAGGGAATGAATGGGTCAGCCGAGATGCTCACCATTGCGCGCGCGACAAATCAACATTGGGGGAAAACACTCACGAGGCATGTTTCTCTTGAAGGGTGAAATGAAGTTAGAGAGTTTAGAAAACAGATTGGCGGCTGGAGGATTAAACCTCAACTGCACTTGTTAAAGTCAGACGAAAGACTGTCGCATCCAGAGCATTTGGAGTAAAGAAGCAGAAACGCGTTGAAGGCGGACAAGATAACGCTATACCGCTTTGGGCAGTCAGAATTTCATTTGTCAAAAGTGCATTTCGGGAAGCTCCCCCTCAAGGCTCAACTTGCAAGTTCACTGCTTTGGTCTTGTCACTTACTCTTGAATTACCTCTTGGTCTCCTTGTCGGTGCCCTCCTTTTAAAAATCTCTATATTTTGCCAGGTGGCAGCCCACCGTCAACATGGCAATGCGTAAGGCCGCACCCCATACCCCTCATTCTTGAAATGTGCTTTGGCTAACTATGTGGATTTTGATCTTCAACAGAGCTTGATATGTCTCAGGGTGATTACTTCTCGAATAATTTGGTACAACTCGGATTCGGTCGCTGACATTAAGGGATAGCTTCGGTCTTGAAGGACGAGCAGGGACGGCCGTTTATTGTCGTTCGGGAGTACGTTCACCGCTACGCCTTATCCTCCGTTTCAAAATACCATTGAGAGTTGGAAAGTTAAGATCTGGGGCTGACGGGGCTTTTTCATACAACAGTCAGGGAAAGAAGAAGAGACAACATGGCACTGAGGCCGTTAAGTCACACATTGTTGCCGCCAAGACGGTGGCCAGCATTGTGAAGTCTTCTCTGGTATGGCACTCGGCAAGCGATGAATAGAAAAACATCTGACTCTCGTTTTTAGGGTCCCCGTGGTCTTGATAAGATTCTGATCTCCGCCGACGGCGATATCACCGTCACCAATGATGGCGCAACTATTCTCGGACAGGTTCGACCCCGAAGCCCTTTTCCCCCGGAGAGATCCAATTCTGGCTTCAGAGACTGATATGATGGTTATGGTTAGATGGAGATTACAAACAACGTCGCGAAGCTGCTGGTCGAACTTTCGCAGTCTCAGGACGAGGAGATCGGTGATGGCACGACCGGTGTCGTGGTGCTGGCAGCGGCCATGTTGGAACAAGCCTCGGACCTCATTGACAAAGGCATCCACCCCATCCGGATAGCCGACGGATACGATCAGGCCTGCGAGATCGCCATTGCCGAGCTCGACAGAATCAGTGACGAAATTACATTCAGCCAAGATGATATCACCAACCTCCTCAAAGTGGCCAAGACCAGTCTGGGCAGCAAGATGTGTGGATTCCCCTAGCTGTATATTAGTTCTGTTTGATTCTAACAGTTTTCATAGTGTCTCCAAGTCCCACGACCAATTCGCCAAGATCGCTGTTGATGCCGTGCTCTCGGTTGCCGACTTTGAGCGCAAGGATGTCGACTTCGAGTTGATCAAGGTTGACGGCAAGGTCGGTGGATCCCTCGAGGACTCTCTGCTTGTCCGAGGTGTTATTGTGGACAAGGACTTCTCTCACCCCCAGATGCCTGACGAAGTTCGGGATGCCAAATTGGCCATCTTGACCTGTCCCTTTGAGCCTCCCAAGCCCAAGACCAAGCACAAGCTTGATATCACATCTGTTGAGGAATTCAAGAAGCTGCAGGACTACGAGAAGGAGAAGTTCACAGAGATGATCCAGCAGCTGAAGGAATCGGGTGCCAACCTGGTCATCTGCCAGTGGGGTTTCGATGATGAGGCCAACCACCTTTTGCTCCAGAATGACTTGCCTGCCGTTCGGTGGGTTGGTGGGCCTGAGATTGAGTTGATTGCCATTGCCACAAACGGCCGTATTGTGCCCCGCTTCGAGGATCTGACCCCTGACAAGCTCGGCACGGCTGGTGTTGTCCGCGAGATGAGCTTCGGAACTACGAGAGAGAAGATGCTGGTGATTGAGGAGTGTGCCAACACCCGCGCAGTGACAATTTTCGTTCGTGGAAGTAACAAGATGGTGAGTCAATCTCTGCACCATACGTAGGGAGATGTGCCAGTAGCTAACTTCAGCTATAGATCATTGATGAGGCCAAGCGGTCACTACACGATGCTCTGTGTGTTGTCCGCAATTTGGTGCGCGACAACCGTGTGGTCTACGGTGGTGGTGCTGCTGAGATTGCTTGTTCCATTGCTGTCGAGGACGCCGCTGTCAAGAGCCCCGGCATTGAGCAATATGCCATGCGCGCCTTTGCCGATGCGCTGGATGCCGTGCCCTTGGCCCTTTCTGAGAACTCTGGTCTGAGTCCCATTGAGACCCTTGCCTCTATCAAGTCTCGTCAGGTCAAGGAGAAGAACACCCGTCTCGGTGTTGACTGCATGATGACTGGCACCAACGGTACGCCCCTAGAAAACCATTACATATTCAGTTCTGTTCACCGGCTAACTTAGGCTCTATAGATATGCGTGAGCACTTCGCTATTGACCCCCTGATTGGCAAGCGCCAGCAACTTCTGCTTGCTACCCAGCTGTGCCGTATGGTTCTTAAGGTACTGCCCCCATCCACTCTTTCTGCCGCGCTCGATGCTAATCGTCAATCAGATCAACAACGTCATTATCTCCGGTGATGATCAGTCTGAGTTCTAGATCACTACATTCTAGTCCTATTCCATGATGGTAAAAGAAAAAAAACTGATGATTCTGGTTTGCTATGTAAAAACATGGTCCCTTACATAGAACCCTTTTAGTTTCAATAAAAACGAAAGGATTGATAATGTCTCTATCTGGTCACTTCTTCTGGTCTCGCTCTTGATATGAGTCTTTGTATCTACGACTAGCATATATAGATGTAGATAGACATGCCATAGCCCAGAACGGCATATGATTCCCAATAACCAAATGCAAATCCAAAGGTGAACCTAGCCAGAAACCCATCGGTACGACATACTCGTCTTACCTATAAATCCCAAACACCCATAGTTCCCGATTCGGTCTAATCAGTTCTGCCTCGAAACCACAAGATGTCAATCGGAAGTCTTTGCCGAAACTACAGCAAGCGCGAAATACATACCAGTACGGCATGTAGAAACAATCTAAACTACCAAACCAGCCTCTCCACAACAGCAGACAGGTTCGTTTTCGTGGGAGATCCGTGCCTCCATTCGGGATCGTGTGGGATTGTCTGTGTTCACGAGGGTCACCCGATATGCCGAGGAACAACAACGCACTCCCACCGCAACATCAACTGACAAATTTGGCTTTCGGAGTATGGGTTCCGTTCAACCTCGGTGCAAGTTTGTGGGGGTGCTTATTTTTACGTCATGTTTATTTCTCATTAAGGTCTTCTAGACTATGGACGAACGGAACTAGGTAGCTGGTGACCTGTCCCATATATACTTTGCCTATTTGCCCGGATACGAGAATTGAATCTTAATGTTTGAAGTTGGGTTAAGGCAATCGATGTAGACTTTTTTTTAGATAGCACCTGAAGCCTTGCATGCGAGTTTAGGTCATGATGTTCTATCAAATGGACTATGCGTTGGCTCTTTGATTCTTGTCATTTTGTATTTCCATCCTTCCAAATGACATTCCGCGGGATTGAGCGAGTGTCAGCAGTAACTCCGATTTGTTTTCTTTCCTTCCTGAAGAAACCCTTGGAGGGCGAAGATCAGATCGCCTCTGCATGCACAATGTAGAGAACCCCACTCTACGATGTGATCTATACGACGAGCAGATGCCGAGATCAACATGAAAAAGTAACGATCTACGCTATTCATACCTGCAGTGACATTTTCGTACAGGGTATACAAATTCAGAACAAGCTTATTGTCCCAAATGTGTTGAGTTCCGCTGTATCGTCGTGACCCCGGGGAACTACGTAGAGCAACAAAATGTTGGCCTATGGGACGGACTGGAATTGTGAACTGAACATAAACTTGGTAATAATAATGGCTTTGGTAATCATCATAGCTTCCTTCGGCATGACGCCCGAATCAGAATTTCACGGTGAAGGCCGCGTACTGAGTCTCCGTCCCGGTGGGATATATTCATAACCCTGCAAAAATGTACCCCCCATAGAAAAGAAAAGACGTCATATTTTTAAGCTCTTCCAGCGCGTAGAGAAAAATACAATCTTATTTTCTTTTTTCCCGTCTCCTTCTTGAACCGGTATGGTAGAGCTTTCAGCTTTGTGCAGGGATTCAGGTGTTGACTCTAGGATTTCACAATGCATGGAAGTACGATCGCAGTTCCCCGCGACTCGTGGACCACAGGATTCAGAATTCTGCTGTTCACTACAGCTCGACTGGGGGCGAGACAGGCCTAGACTAGTTCTATTTTCTCTCTTTTTCACATGTAAACTATTGATATCGGGAGTGTTGGGACATTAGACGCTGGCTACCTTAACTCTGAAGTGTTGACGAGATAACCGCTTGTATGTGTGAGCTCGAATTGTTTGGCAGTCATAATGTCGGGTCACTTGGGCTAGACGAGAAAAGAGGTATTAAATCATTGAAAGGTCGCTTAGCTAGACCCCATCTGTATACCTAGTCACAATAATGGCAACAGCTATTCATCGTATTTTGAAACACCAGCTGCGCCAGGAATCCAGGAGGCCATCGTACTCGAAATATTGCATTGCAGTACAATTGAAAAACAAACGAGGCGATTGTAAGTGCCGTGCCAGGATAAAGACCTTATATTGTGGGCATATTAATGCCCCAGCTGCATCGAGCATGCCTATACATAGCACACACGATTCCAAGACGCATTGCATCCCGCAGCAGATAAATTTAAAATCCCCCATGACCTGCAGCGGGTCGTGTTGCAGAGCGTCTTCATTGGAATATTGAAAGACGGGCGGCAGCCGCCACCACAGGAGACGGACGTCAGCTCCAGCATAACTGCGAGTGAGTACGCCGGGCCCCAACGTACCCTGCCTAGGCAGAGTAGGTACTTGTGGACATGGATTGGTTCGATCTTCCGCCTCGGGCCGAATGCAAATCTACCCGAGCGGTGTGACACCGCTGACAGGTACGAGTGCAAGCCCCGATCTGGTGCCCATTTT